ATTATATTATAATGAGAAGCATATGAATGAAACTATAGGAAACACGACAAATTCGACATAATTTATGTTTTAATTACATTAAAAATCAACATTATGAAGGACTTGTCATGTGTCCTATAGTATACCATATATGCTGCCCATGGTTTTTCAAAAAAGATTCGCATCGATGATCATTGACAGAGAAAGTGACGCGGCCTTCAGGATCAAATTTCGTAGAAATAAAAAAAGAAAAAAAAAAAGAAAAGATCAGCAATAAATGTTGCTGCAAATGTACACCATACAGTGACCGTTGGGGAGTGACAAGTAACCTAACGTAATGCATGCAGGTTTTCGGTATTCAAATTCTGCAGTTCTGCTTTTTAACAATAATCTTACTATGATAGCTAGTCAAGGAAAAAATCGAAGCGAATGCTCTCGTATCACTCGTATCCCGAAAAAGCATCTCTTGTGCACTCTTGCATGAAATGTCAAAATTCTTGAACATGCGCAATTTTGATATGTTTCAAAATTTCCTGTATCGTAGTGTGTTAACCATACTTAATACTATGCAATGGTAGTTCCATGAACAGTACTATATTCCTGTAAAGTTACAGCTACTAACTGGTTCGTTTCAAGCTCCTGAAATATTTCATATCCAAAGAGCCAGCTTTTCAGATTTTAAAATCATTTTATACTCTAACCGTTTACAAATAATACCAACATTTAACATCTTCAACATTTTAAACTATCTAGAGCTTTTAAACAAGAATTTTCTTTCGATTAATCAATTTCGTTAACGAAAGAACAACAGGATCGTTTAATGAGAGTTAATGCGACAAAGCAATTCAGATCTTCACAAGTAATGTAAAGCTTGTTCCGTGTTTCATTTTACATCGCGAAACATATTTCTGATGTGCATACGTAAAAAGAAAAGTTTCCATCTTTTGATCCCCCCCATCAGTTTACATCACAAAGCCAGCTAATTAAACGATTTTATAATAAGCAAGAATCAATAGGAAATACAAAAAGAAAGTTCTTTAAACATGTTTAGTTAAAAAGATAAGGGATAAAATTAAGAATAATCCTCTACGATAGGTTAAAAGCAGATTACATTTTGAAATATTTTCTCTCTAGTAAATGCCAATAAATTAAAGGCACTTTTTTTCTATTTCAGGGTACAAAGTAATATTAAACTTTTACTAATTCAATCAAAATGCTCAAAGAATGATCTGCATGTGGAATAACTAAACGGATTGAGTAGAAGTATTCAAAACCCGTCATCAGACATTTTAAACGTTTTGTATTATAATAAGCCAGAAAATAAACTATTTACTTTGAAAGGTTGAATTTGGTACGATATATCTTATCCTCTGAATGTTTCTTTAAGACTTTCAACCAGACATTCAGATTCCTCTTTCTGTTTGATTAAAAAATTAAATTCTCTTAAAACAATGTTGCAGTACAACTAAAGTAGTGAAAGAAAAAATAGATAACAATCAGTTCACATATTACACTTTAAAGGTGGATTGAAAAATATACTGGCGATAAATATTGAAAAATATATTGACGAAAAAATATACCTAATAAGAATTTATTACTTAAATTTGTTGAAGGATAAATTTAGATGCATTTCCTCAAAAAATTATATTTTAGAGAGCCTGAATGCTATAATAAACAGCGGATATAGATTGCATTTTTCCGAAATATATTACTTCCTATGTCATTTAAATGATAGTCAGGAGTGGAGAACCTTTCTTCATTTGAGAGCCAAATTTTAGTAATTACTCAAATTCTGTAAGGCTGTATGCTGCGAATAAACATATACAAGAACCGTTTATATTTTATTTTGAAAACAAAAGTACTCCATAATGTAAATAAACTGACGATAGATTAAATGCATAACAGATAGAAGTTACTTAAAAATTGATTTGAATATAGTAAAAATAAAATGAAGATAGATTAAATGGAGAATAGATAGAAGTTAGCTAAAAATTAATTTAAATATAGTAAATAATGAAATAAATTCACACGAATAGGCCTGCTAAATTGATGTTTTCATGGTTTTCCTCATGTGTAATGTAAATAAAAGTCGATTTCCCCAGAAAGTCTTCCACAAAGGCATCCCACTCCTTAGGCAAATAGACTTCCCGTGCTTTACCATTTTCTGTTAAACAAACAAACAGATTATGAAAATAAAAGCAGTATTGCGTTTAAAAGTATAAAAAATAAAAGCAATATTGAGTTTAAATGAATAAAAAGTAAAAGGGGTATTGAGTTTAAATTATAAGGTATTTCTCCCGCCTTCTTAGCATGCCTTCGTGATGTAGTGGTCAGCATGCTCGACGGGAATTCTAGAGGTCCATGGTTCGAGTCTCCGCTAGGGCATTGCTCACTTCATCTTCCGCTTCAAAAACCTATGTCTTACAGTGGCGCCGACAAAAAGGTGTGAATGATGATTTCCACACCAGGATTGGAGACGGGTTCCTATCCCAGTCGCCTTTAAAGTCGAGTATGTAAGATAGTTACCCTTTTAGCATGCTTTCATGGTGTAGTGGTCAGCACGCTCGACGCGTATTCGAGAGGTCCGTGGTTCGAGTCCCGGGAAGGGTATTGCTCATTTTTCATCTCTCTTGCTTCGAAATAACCTAGTGTCTCTACAAAATGAATTAAAAATAAAAACAGTATTGCCTTTAAATGAATAAAAAATAAAAGCAGTCTTGCGTTTGAACCTTCTTGTGCTTTACCGTAGTCTGTTAAACAAACAAACAGATTACGAAAATAAAGACAGCACTGCGTTTGAGGTAAAGACTAGAAGGCCAAAAGAAGTACTCCTTGTAAGGTTAATTAATTCAACTTCCTTAGTTCTAACCTCTTATTTCCGAGTTTTCTGTTTCTTCAGGCGATTTAGCTCTCTTCGCAGAAATGAATTTAAATTTACTAAGTAACCACAGAAATACGTTGTAGAACCATTAGTTTTTTAATGCAGGAGAGGAAACGTGAAAAATGGGCAATAACATCAGCAGGACTCGAACCCCGGACCTTCCGATGCTAGCCACACAGGCTTTCTAATTACACCACTAATGCGTGAGAAGGAGGGAGAAAATACCTTGTAAAGTAAATAATAACTGAAATATTCATTACTCACAGACATCCTATCAGATACTCAAAATAATTTAGAATTAAAACTTATGTTGCTAGCAGATCAATGGTTATTTATGTACAAACTTATAATCAACCACATTGATACACAGTTTAACTATTGCCTAAATTTCGTACTTTCAATGGATATATTAAGTAACTGAATTTCCACCAAATTGTATCCTGACGCAGATTAACTTGAATCTCAGTTAAAGAAAAAGATGGCAAAGTCATCTTGTTCTTGCTCAGAGCTTAATTGCAGCGGTATTTTTTAGTTTTTGGAATAAATCCTAATTCTAGCAGGAGCACTTCGGAGCCCTAAATAAGAAGGCTCCGGCACTTCATTTTCTTTCGGTACAAATTTGATCTCAAAAATTTTATTTTTAGTATTATAAAATTATATCCAAAATCATTTGTTAAATTTTAATTTATCTCTTTACATTTTGTTAAATTCTAATTATTTTATTAATTTAATCATTGATTATTTAATGATTTTTAATAATTAATTGTTTAATTTTTAATTACTTTAATCATTGATTATTTAATTGTTTTTAATGATTATAACTACTTAATTATTAATGATTTGGTTAGTCATTTTATTTATTTATTTATTCTTGTTACCGTTTCCTGACGGTCTTCCACAAGTGCTCCGGCACTTTCAATTTTAGAAAATCTTGCTTAAAATTTGTTTACATCCAGAAACAATAGCTGAATTACCCAATTGAGATGGGGAAGAATGCAACTGATCGAGATGCAGAAAAAGTTGTATAATGGCTACCATAACTCATAGAAGCAGAACATCCTCTTGCTCAATTTGCATGCATCTGGATAGCTCGACGTGAATCAGAAAAATATAATCTGATGTGAATATCGGACATGTAAATTCTGGTTAATTTAAACTCAAAACAAATTTTTATGCTTCACAAAGCAATAGGCTTTCCATCCTCAAGTTAAACAGCACTAATGTGGGTTTAAGAATTTTCTTGATTGATACATGATTTTGAAACTGATAAACACTTTTACACGGATGAATTATGATGAATATGACTCTTATATATACCATTCGTCGACAGGGATACATTTCTAGCTATTTTTAAACATTCTTAACAAAAGCGGTATTTAAAACTATAATTAGTTATATATTATAATAAATAAAATGTATTATAAATCACTTTAAATAAAATGAGAAATTATTCAAAATAGCTTTGATTTTTGTCTTCTTTATTATGATTGCAAAAATGGAACTTAAAAATTATTTGAAATAAGTGTTATTACTGTTTCTCAACAGTAACATGTATACTGGTTTCTGTTTCACATCTAAAGGTTAGTTCACAACACAATTCCAATTTCATTGATTTATGGAAAAAAGCTTAGAAATTAAAACAAATAAAAATACGGAAGGATTAAAGTTGCGCTTTCATAGACACTTCAAAATATTTCAGCGTTTTGCAACGATTCTGAGATACCTAGTTCACGTTAAGAAAAATTTTTGTCATATTAGAAGCGTTAAATACATATGCATTTTTTTAAAAAAATAGATTGGAAGTACGAAACTCAAATGAGCACATTTTTAATACAACCGTTAAGAGCAGTTGCACTGGAATTAATTTGTTAATATATGTGGATAGCCCATCGGGCAATTTTTTAAATTTTTGCTTCCAAATAAACAAAACAAATCTCAATGACTTCCTGTATGACTAGTTCTTAAAAAGGGTTATCAAGATTACATGGAATATGTAGATCTAAGTTAAAAGGAATATCTTTGTGTCATGATCATTAAGCATAAAGCAGATAAAACTTAGGTCAATGTTAATCATAGTATCACGAACTCCTCCGGGGCTGATCTTTATTTAGGACGGGATATGGAAGACATATAAATGCAAGGAGTGACTTGAAACGGGTTTTGTTCGTGGTGATCTTAGTTATCCTCACAACTTCAAAAGTTTTAGACGAGATTTTAAGATGGGAATCAAAGATACATTCCGAATACATATTTTGCTCATCTTTGCCATTAGTATTGCATGGAGTTTGTCCCTGTATCCAGCTAGCTGTCCTGAGCCAAAAGTCCAGGAAAATTTCGATATTGAAAGGGTAATGTACTTTTAAATCGTACTTTACTTTATAAGGCATATGTGACTACATTGAAATATGCTCAGCAAACAAAATACTGAAATACGTAACTGTACAGCTTTTCAAACAGCTTTTTTTTTTCTTCTGAAAAGGAATATTGATGCCCAAGGATGTTGCTATCAAACATATTTTTCCCCTTGAAGTTCCTATAATGTCTATTTTAATTTTGTTACAGAATAATTTAAATTCTGACATTGTGATTTGTGTAATACTATTTCATTTTCTTTTCTGGAAAGATTCTCAATATGCAGTTATTCATAATTGAAATAGTTCAATCTCATTTCTTGCTTCTTAACTTATTGTAGGAATTACAAATGAGCCTTTCAATTTTTAATCAAATTTCAATTAGAGTACTTTATTATTATTATTTGGTTTACATTATTTAAATCTTCGGTGACTTGGCGAATGTTACGAATTACAAATTCAGAAAATTTAAATTAAAATAATGCACATTTCAAGTAATTCAATTCGAAATAAATTCTTTTTTACTGCATTTATTACTATTACAGACTTTTTAATGTCAAATTACTTCGAGACTTTTTTTTTAGCATTTCTATGTTATTTGCTTGCATCACATTCCTTTAATAGCTGTTTCTAGTAACAGTCGAATACAGTTTAATGCCAATATTGAAGACTCTGAGATATCCTTTTGAGTAAAATTAAGCACATTTTGAATATTAAATGGCTTCTAGAAATAGAAGTTTCATTATCTTCTAGAAATTTCATTTTTATTCTTGGTTTTAGTATATCCCCCCCCCCATTTCTTGCAGTTTGCCTCTGTGCTGCTGTTTTTTGGTTTAGTCCGAACTGAATATGGGATAAACTTTAAGCGTATTTTTTACATTTTATTTTGCATTATATATGTATATATTATAAGAATATATATATTCTTATAATTTCATGTGCTGTCTCTTTCAGTATTTTTCTACATGTATATTGGTACTCGTACATTAACAAAACATGGATATAATGATACTAGTAATAAAAGCAAAGCACCTTACAATATAAAAGTCGCACTAATTGTTCCCATGGATTTCTCTGTTTGCTTCGGCAAGTATAATTTCAGTAGCCGAAGTAAACATGTTTTAGAAAGCGCTACAAACCGATTCAATCCCTCCAGTGTATGACGAATGCAAGTTTATATCTCCAAGATACCTCTTATCTTTTGAAAACCCATCGAGTTGCAACTGACGAAATTATAATAAGCGTGCAAAAAGCATCTTTCTACATCGTTCAGGATGATATTTGCCACTTGCCAGTTCCCATTCTTGCTCTGTTGCCTCTACTGATGCTTAACGTAGACAATATACAGGACTAATTTTTACTATTTATTTTTTGTTTGTTTGTTTGTTTGTCTATTACATTAGTTTTGAATTATAGTTTTATTATATGCATGGAAATCACGTAATTAATTTAATTCACATTCGAAAAGTAGCAGCCTATGCAGGTGGGGTAATTTTAATGAAAGTTCACGTAAATGAGATGATAGTTTTTTTCCTCGTGCTTCTAGGCTGTTCTATATGAGAACCAGTCGGCTTCTTTAATTAAATACACATGCCAAATCCTTTAGTGAACTCTGCTCTAAACAAAATAGTTAAAGAACAACTATGCATTTAAATATATAGCATCCCATTTGCCTAATTCTGATGATAACGGTACTTGCAATTAAGGGGGCATGCACGAAATATTATAAAAGATGCACATTTTTTTTTTTTTTTTCATTCAAGGGCAAAATTCAGGAATTCAGATGTAAATAAATAGGATATATACTTTTGAAAGAAAAAGTTCTCTCAAAATTATGCATAATTTTTATGTTAGAAAAATCTTGAATGTCTCGCAGTTGGTAAGATAAATTTTCGAAACGGATAACACAATTCTTGGAATATTTAGGGATATTTGACCCGATTATAACAAAAGGATTCACATGACTGTATAAAGTTACGCTCATAAATACCTTTTATTGATTTTCCACAACAATGAATGTCCCACCCTCCCCAAGAGCAAAATTTTAATCATTATTTCAATATGCTTATACGCTTTAGACTGAAATTGAATGGAGTTAATTTTTATAATGAACAAATTTCTCGTGTAAAAATAATCTAGTAAACAATCAATCTTTGGATTTAAAAGGGCGATTATAACCGGTTGATTAACTGATTAACGGAAAAAAGAGAGATGCCTTCAGAAAGGACTTCTAAGGAAAACTGGTTTGTTTTCACCTCAGACATGCGGGAAATAGCCACCCAGCCGGTATAGTGGTTAGTGACCCTAACTGCCGTAGCGCCCGGGTTTGAACCCCGGAGCCCGGTAACTGCCCGGGTTTGAATCCCGGAGAAGGCATGGTTGTAACTATTCGTCCTTTCAATAGCAGGCAACGGTGGTCACCTATTAGGTGCTTCCATAATGAAATGGCCACTACTTCCGGCCATTAAAAAAATCGTGTGGAAAACCACAAATTTTCTTCGGAAAACGGACACGAGAAGAATTTATTTAGTGCTTAGAGGTCTTACCCTCTCGTCCAAAACTGGTGGTCTACAAGCAATAAATAAATCAACTAGATTACTGTTTCAAAATTATGTTACTGCATTAGTTTCTTATGCAAATAATACTGCATTTACTTATTACCAGAACTCCTGATATAATTAACGTATCTTCATCTAACATCATTTTTTTTACCTACACATTACACGACGTTGCATGCTGGGAAAAAAATTAAAAGTAAAGAAACTTCTTTAGATATTAATTCTGATAGCATGCTATTTTATTGTTTTCAAAAACCCCCATTCACTTCTTCACAAAAAAGCCTTCCAGGCTACTAGTTCATTGTCGTTTATCTTCTTATCAAAGATTTTATCTTATAAAAGACTCCAAATTTGGAGCTTGACAGCTAGTCCTTCTTTCTTCTTCACATCATTAATCTTTCGAAGCTGACTTCTTTCTTTCATTACTGTCAGTGACATTAATGGAGCTTTTCATAAAGCCTAATTTTGTATGTAAAAGGATACTAATAAGTCGTTCAAATTTATTAGTAGAACATATCGAATATTTTGTTTTCCTAATACAAACGATTCTCTTCTGTCTTTCAAGTAAAGCGACATTCTGCGAATCCTTCTTGCAGTCCCACAGTAGTACAGCAATATTGTTTAAATAATTAGAAATCTCCTAACCATATTTGATATAATAATTCATATAGGATAACAAAGAAAGAATTTCATATCTTTCCTTCTTTTCTAAGAAAAGGATTATTCAGATTGTAACAAAGAACGTGAAGGCTATCTGCTTCAATAATGCTTTCGTGAAAGAATTGTTAAAAGAGACTGACTGGTATTCATCTTACATACGAGGAAATCTCCCCTGAAGACAGCCTATTCTCCAGGATTTGAACCCGTGGCGAATTACCCGTGTTCAGCAGTTTTACTGCTCGGCCACTCTTTTAATGGAAAATGTGCCACTAGTATTCACGGCTTGCTGAGGCTTAGTTTATATGAAGCTATAAATAATTACCAATTCTGCAAGAATATATTAATAACCTAGCTTTTCTACTGAACTATTTGTCTTTTCCTCTGACCACTCCCTTCGATGTTTCCGAAACTTTTGATATTTATTGGGAACAACATGCACCGTCACCCAGCCAGTATAGTGGTTATCGCTGACTGCCGTGCCAGGCTCGAATCCCGGAGAAGGCATCGATGTTTGTAAATGTATAATGTCCGTGCGACATGGGGGCACTCTAAATATGCGGCGAGCTGAAAATCCTCTCTAGAGGTTGATGGTAGAGGAAAAGGAGTGGGAGACCCTCGGACCCGTCCCCCCGGCGTACTCTTCATTAAAATTGGGGGCGGAACTGAACTAAATCGCACTGTTACCTGTAAGGTGCTCAAGGCTGTTGTTCAACGACAGGCGTAATTTTTCGCTCTTTGCCACAACGATTTTTGTGGGCTCGGGCTGACTATAGGTCAGACAAGTGAGCATTAGCAATAACAACAACAACACAACAACAACAATATGCACAATATGCACCACAAAATTGGTGACTGAGTTTTTAAAGACAGTTAAAAATTCGTGAGTTGCATATCCCACACATAGCGACGGGAACCCAAATGTTTTCGGAAAAAGAGCTTTATTGGAAAGTTTTTTTTTTTTTTTTTTCCTACATTTTATCTGATAGTCGAATTATTTAGGAGTCGTTTCAAAATGCCTTTCGTAACAAAGAACAAACTACGTTTAAAAACTGCACGATGATTTTTATTGCAGATGCAGGCAAATGTATAAACGTACTTAACTTTCGTCAGTAATATTCCGTTGTGAAAATGATTTTAATGATTTATTATGAATTAGTTAAAGATGACAAAACATTTTCCTATCCAAATTCTTCATCTGCTCGTGAAAACTGTGTTTTAGGCGCCTATTTTCCCCGTATGACAAAAACCTCATTAACCTATTGCATTTTTCAAACGCAGCTTACACTGCCTTTCTCTTTCGCGATGTATCACTTAACTTACTATAGCATAATAAATATTTTGCTAACTGATCATATAGTCTTATAGGAACTATCACTCATGAAATTATCTTCATAAAATTCTTAGCTTTTGGGGTTTTGATTAGGTTTATCTGATTTCGGCAAAGTACGCGAGAGCTATCTATCTAAGGGGTGCCTTTGGTGTGGGACATTTTAAGGGAAGATCGCTCGTTTCCATGTTACAGATGGCTAAAATCGTGAAAACACTCATGCTGCCAGCACGTTTGCCTGGAAACGAACCCAGATCGAACTACTAGTATTTTGAGACCATCTTTTTGGGTGAAACTTTGTAACTGACAGAGTATATGTATGACCAATATTCTTTAAAAAATTAGCTTAGCCACATTACCTTAACACCCTGTAATGGAATATCCCATCATTAATTCAGAAGTAAGCAAAAACTTTGAAACAATATATTTTACACAGTAGTAAATGAAGATAATATTTTTTTTTAATTCATCCTATCATTTTTTTTTTTTTTTTCAGTTCAGTGGACTTTGGTACGAAGTGCAGAGGACGTTTGCATTGGTTGAAGGAGGATTGAAATGTGCCACAACTGTTGTGAGTGGTGCGAGCAACAAGAAAATGAGAGCAACATTTCGACGAAATGGAATTAACATACTGTAATGATTTTTTTCCCACTACAGTTAATATCATTTTCCTAATGCAGTCGAACTCTGTTATAACGAAGGCAGATTTGTTTTAGTTTGGTTTGGTTAATTCAATTATGGCAAAGCGCTCGAGGGCCAAGGGTCAAAGGGAAGAGATGCCATCGTGACTTTCTAAGGGAAACTGGCTCGTATATATGTTATATACCTGGAGAAAAACACAAAAACATCCATGCAGCCAGCCCGCTGACTGGGATTTGAACCCCGGACCGAACTACCACTGTTCAGCGACTTTACCGCTCGGCCACTGGTGAGCTAACAAGAGTAGATATCATCAGATTACGTGGCTGTAAATAGCAATCAGTTTCAATATTTTTTTTTTCCTTTCCAATGGCGGGCACTTGCCTGTAACGGCATGGTCACTACTAAGGCCAGAAGTGATGCCATTTTACTGTAGAGGCACATAATAGGAGGCCACCGCTACCATCCTATTAGGGAACAGACAATTTTATATCCATGGCTTCTCCGAGATTCGAACCCGAGCCCTTCGGTATAGCAGTCAGGCTCCCCTAAGCACTATACCGTATGGGCGGCCATATGATTTTGATTTTACACGTTATTGTCGAGCATATTTTATTCAAGAAGAATTTGTTTACATTTAACTAACGATAGGAAGTAGGTTAAGGTTAGGCTGTTTGAATACGAGAAAGCACACAAGGGCTATCTGCCTAAGGGAAAGGATGCCTTTGAGAAGAACTTCCTAACAGAGAGTGGCTCATATCTTCGCTATACACGAAGAAAACCACGAAAACAGTGATGCAGCCAGGTTGTTCGCCGGGGTCGAACCTTGGGCGAACTAGCAGTGTTCAGCGGTGTTAACTACTCAACCATTGTGGTCCCGAGGATATTAAACAAGACATGTTTTGGGATTATTAATTCTCATTATGATGAAGTTCGACTGTATTTCACCATTTTTCATCGTTATTTAGAGTAAACTGTATATTTGTAGATACTGTTTCTTTTTTTTCTTTTTTTTTCTTTTTTTTTTTTTTTTTTAATTATTATTGAGAATGTAATATGAAATTCAACTCTGCTGTCAGAGTTTCGAGCCATGAATCTTTTAATAGCAAGCTGGAACTGCCAATCGCTTACGCATGCAAGGGCAAAAGCAATAATTCTTCTCATTTAAAAGGCGACTTGGGAGAAGCCTGAGGCCTTTTAAATCCAGGTGATGACGGGTTAGTTCAAGCGAAAATGCAGAAGCTATTAAGTTTTTCGAGGCAGGTAACGTAAAATTCAATTCTGGGATTCGAAACAGGGATCTCCAAACTGCCATCTGGACATACTAACAGTAACAAGCAAGGGGAAATGCTATAATCTTATGCATTTATCAGAGAGTAGCTTTTTTAATGAGACATTATTTTGTGTAAACTTTCAGGGTTATTTTTAAATTACGAAAACCAGAAATATCCAGAATTACTTTTAATTACATAAAATTTTCCTCGTATAATGATATTGCTTATCACTTCTAAATAAAGTGCATTAAATCGTATATGAATATTTTAAAACTAATTTAATCATTTTTAAATATATTTTAAGAATTAATTGTGATAACGTACTTTTAAATTAATTAAAATGGAACAATCTGCCTGTAGTACTTAAATTTTAAATCAGATCTTAACTAGTAATTTTAATCTTCCGTAACCTCGTCTTAAGGAAATGAAAATTAAAAATACGGATTTTGAAAGAATGTTAAAAGTAATGCAAAATAATATTTTAAATTGAATTTAACATTATTTTATTTAAGATGTTGCAGAGGAAAGTGAAGTACAATAAATAAATAATATACAATACAATAAATAAATTCGAATTTTGATAAGCAAGCAAATAAAAGCTCTTCATTCATTCTCACTGAAGCAAATTAATAAAACTCATATAAAATAAATTTTTATTTACAGGAACAGACGGGTAACATTAATGAGAGGTTATCTTCACACCCCTGATGCCAAAGCTCCAGCCAAGTTGGAACTTGTCATGGGTCCACGTAAGTACTTATATTATAACTATATCCCTGAACCGTTATTAGACATTTCATCAGAAAATAAGCTTTCTAAATTAAGGATTCATTAAAAAATGTCCTTGAATATATGCAAAAATTTGGAACAATTATTTTAGAAGCCTTTATCACATTTAAAATGGACACTGCATTTTTAAACACTTGACATGTAATTTATCCTGTACTCGCTTTAAACAGTATTTAAAGCGGCTACTGGATTCCAAAACACCTAATATATGTACACTGCTGGCCATTAAAATTGCAACACCAGGAAGGAATGATCTGACGAACGTCAAAATGAAAGGAAGAAGAGGTTGGGATATGAAAATGATCAGTATTTCAGAGTATTTAGACAACACAGGAGCGAGAAATGACATCTGCAGCACTGCACAAAAGAAAAGTTGCATGGTGGATTTCTCATTCGAAAAGCGCTTTGTAAGGTCGGAGTTTGCAAATAATATCGTGTTGTGCCTCGAATAAGAATAAATGTTTACCGGCAACTGTCGGAATTTGATAGACACAGGATCGTTGCCTGTCGAGAGTGTGGATTATTGTTCCATGATATCGCCCGTCGATATTACTTTAATCACTTTTCTGATGTCTGCATGCTAAAACCTAGGTGTGTGAAATGTGCGTGACCGCACAGAACTATCGATTGTCCTAACTAAAAGGCTTGAATTGGTTAAGTGATGTAAAATTGTGTCTTAACTAACCATACTGCAAATTACCGTGGATGTTCCAAATTTCCTAAACTCTTGATTTCTAACTCAGATCCAAAGCCTAGTATGAACTCTACGGATACTGTTAATTCTGATGTAATACTGACCCCTGTTAGTGACAACATTTCATATGCTGACATGGTAAAAGGTAAAAAACGAGTTCCTATGCATTAGAGTGAAGAAAACGCTATCAGTCTCCTTTTTTTTAACTTTAGTGAGTTTTCGCAAGTACTGTAGGATATTTTTGGCCTTGTTAAGGAATTGAGTAGATGTTCCAAGACACCTCTTTGCATAATATAGTTAGGAAAATAGCGCACCGCATCCCTGAAATTAAATCTATGGAAAAAACTTTGTATAAGCTTTTTATTAATTTTTCTACTTTTGAAAACAAATTTAATACTGATAAATAAATACTTTTGGTTAATATTCTTAATCAATTCCTCTTATGAACTTAATTAATGTGTATTTATTTCGTATATTTTATGTTAAATGAAAAATTTAACCCTCTCAGCGTTAAGGCCGGAAAATTCCGTACAAAAGGTTGCCCTCCACATTCATTATACATGAAAATTTCTGCTAGCTTTTAATGTATCTGATTTCAGTTTGGATGTATATTGGAAGAAAAGGAATCAAGGTACAAAATGAAAGAGTCATTTTTTAATTAAAATCAAGAAAATATCACTTATTCATGACATTTTGAGGAACTTTGAAATTTCAAGGCTAAACTCGTAACGCTCAATAAACTTAAGTTTATTTCAGTACTTAGTTCTTAAACACGATCAAATCAAAATAAATTGTATTGTATGCTGAGTAATTTCGTTTAAAATTTGATCGAACGAAAAAGAATATTAACTAATATGCTCCGTGGAAGTTAGTGCTATTAATTAGTATGCTAATTTGGCACACGGTCGTCAAATTTCAAATAGTTAAAGACATCAGACTTAAAAAAAAGTTAACACCGGAATAAGGCAGGCAAAGTTGGAAGGTCTTGGCTTTAAGTGAGGAAGTATTTATTTACTTGAAACCTACTTCGTTTTCTCTTTCTTGTGGGGGGAATAGAAATTTCGGCTCAAGTCCACGATTTTCCGGATTGTCCCTTGCGGCTAAACTTCCATCGGCTAAAAGGACACCAAACCCCATTCCACGGAGGAGTGCGATTGATACTGCACCCTAGTTAGGTTCTGAAACAACAAATTTACGACCATAGCTGACGACCAAGCTTATAAATAATGAAAAAGTTTGTAAAAAAAAAATATATATATATGCTTTCGATATAAATGAATGTAGAAATTTTAATTGCAAAGAAAAAAATAAAAAGTATTATTGCTGCGAACAAATTTACAATATCATTTAAATTTTAAGAGCATATGAAAATTAATTGCACTTATCTAAACCCATGAAAAAATATATTATTCCAAAAAATTGAATTTATTATTCCTAACAATTGCATAAGTGAATAATTGTTGAGCAGGCAGGAGACAGACTTATCAAGGGGAAGTTGCCCCAATCCTAACTCTTCAATTACTCAATTCGTGTTCTGTCATCCATATAGGCAAGGGTAAAAGTAAAATTCAAAGCCAAAAGTTTGTGAATTACAAAAAAAAAAAAAAAAAAAAAAAAGAAAAAAGAAAAAAAAGAAAGAAAAAATTAAACAGTGGAATTTTGAGAAAATAGAAAATAAATTACTAGAGTTAAAATTAATTAAAATAATTAAAAGTCAATTAAGAGCAGAAAACCAAATTTTTAGAAAACCAAAGTAATTTAGAAACTCTTGCCTACAGGAAACTTCCTCAAAGTTTGTAGGCAAGAGTTTCTGAATTACTTTGGTTTTTCTTAAAAATTTGGTTTTCTACTCTTAATTGACTTTTAATTAATTTTAACTCTAGTCATTTACTTGCTATTTTCTCAAAATTCCACTGTTTAAATTTCTTTTCTTTTTTTTATTGTAATTCACAACATTTTACTTTTGGTTTTGAATTTTACTTTTAATCTTGCCTATATAGATGACGAAACACGAATTGAGTAATTGAAGAGTTAGGTTTGTGGATAACTTCCCTTTGATAAGTCTGTCTCCTGCCTGCTCAACAATTATTCACTTATGCTATTTTTAGGAATAATAAATTCAATGTTTTGGAATAATATATTTTTTCATGGTTTTAGATAAGTGCAATTAATTTACATATGATCTTAGAATTTAAATGAATTGTAAATTAGTTGGCAGCAATAATAATTTTTATTTATTTTTCCTTTGCAATTAAAATTTCCTAATTTAATTTTAAATTTTAATTTTATATTTGCTTTATACGAATAGAGAATATTTGTTAAATTCTAATTTCATTCCTTGCAGCAATGGCGCAAGAGAATTATTTAAATTTAATTTAACTTTACTATTTTCTTGTTAAACAATTTTAAACATATGTTACCGTGAAAGACCGAAATTGGAGAATGTCGACTTTCACCGGAGAATATCAACATTCACCAAATACGTCGGTGAAAGATCGAATATTGCATTACATTCTTGTATATTCGGACCCTCACCGGTGTATGTCGACAATCACAGATATGCTCTGGTGTAAGTCGAAAAGAGAGGTCATAAAGTGCCGTAATAGTTTAAGTTGTTGCAATAAATAAGATTTGAATCACATAATTCAGTAAGTTTTTTATTACTGTTATTTTATTTTCTCATTTAGAACGTAGTATATAATTAAGTAAGTTTTTAACTTCTATTATTTTCCTTTCTCATTTTGAATGTATTGTGTGTGTTTTAGGTTCTCATGTTCTTAGGTTCTTATTTCAAGTCTCAAGTGCGTTTATTCGTGACTGAATTACGGAGAAGAAAATATAATATTGTTATATGTTCAACATTCACCGGTTTAAGTCAGAAATTAGAGTATTTGGAAAATATTTCGGACATACACCAAGAGACTATGTGAATGTTGACATTCACCGGTGAAAGTCGACATTCTCCAGATTTCGGTGTTTCACCGTAACATATGTATATATAAGATAAAAATTAGGGAAAACAAATTCATTACTTAATTTAGCTATAGCCCCTTAATTCTTCATTTTAATTTGGCCATTTCCATTCGCTATTCTGAAAATAGTAACTGTTATAATAAATTTTTCAAGACTGCATTATTTCCAGATTAACCCATATCATATGGCTTTTACATAATGATGATAACGTAGCTAATTCAAACCGAAATCATTCCCTTAAACTAAGCACCAATGATTGAATAACTACGCACTTGCTTTAGTATAAAAAAAAAGTGTAAATGTTACTTCCTGGAAAGGGTACGATTAGCGTGCCAATTTGTATGGTGCAGCAAATTGTTTAACTACAATAAAAGAAATATGATATAAATCTGCTACGATTGCGTTTTATTGCATCTACACGACATCCAAGCTTATAGTTCAGTACGGATCTTCTATGTGTGCTTTAACATTTGCGTCATTTCCAAATCATCATACACGCACGCACACATATATATTAATTATATTCTTTAAATATATGTATATATTGTATTACAGTAATAGAATTAATAACAATAAGTACATAATAAATAAATATTACTAATGCACATGAGTCACGTATGATATTTTTTTTATAATTTCAGTGTCCCTTTTTCTCCGATATCGCGTCATCGATACTAATTACGATGACTATGCTGTTGTGTGGGGCTGTTTCGAATCACCGAAATACAGTTCAATCCTTGGACATACAGGTACGTATTTATAGGCATTTATTTATACTGAAAATGAAACTGAAGATATAAGAAACTAACATAAAATGCAGATTAACTGATTTCTTGAGAGACAATTTATTTTTAGAATTCATCTTGAGATGTTTTGATTTTAAGTTATAAGGTTCAACACAGTTTGCTTTAATCCAAAATACCAGTCTAATCTTCTAGACTGCCAGACGAATTTTCGTCTCGTTTTTAATTGTCAGTATCAGAGCATTTAGCAAATACAACAGTGTAAAAACAACTAAGGGTTTAACTTCAACTCGAAGTATGGAACTCAAATAACTAATAAAGCTAACTTACTAATAGTTTCTGTCAAAATTGATACACAATAATGAATTAAATTATTTATAGTTCAAAAGGTTAAAATTTAGATTTTAACCATCTGGTTCTGATATTTACACGGCCACTGTTTAAGGAAATTTTCAAATAGGAGAAAACTCACCAAACATTAGCAATAACAGAGATAATACCATGGACAAGTTTTGTTGCCAGACCCCTCTCTCTCTTAATTTAAATTCTTATTCCTACCCTTTTATTTATGTATTTTGGTGAAATATTGCACCGCTTTTAACATAAGAAATAACGTATTAAATAAGCCTTATAAATTAACTCCGACTTCCTGACGCTGGCTCTGATTTTAAGTCCTGTATGTGTTAACAAACATTTTTAAAATTTTCATTTCTGATAGTAATCAATTTAATCTGTTGAGTAGATCTACTAACCTAAAGATCAGAATATTTGAACACTATATTTACCTGATTACGTTAGTTAGGATAATTCTTACACTTATCTATAGTTTTCAAATTAGGATCTAAAATTTTTACTTGAGCAGAGCTTTGCAAATTCTGGGAGTTAAAAATATTTAAGTATGACGAAAACAGGTTGACGTCCTTTCTGCTGTCTGCAGTTTTAGAGCTCTTTAGAATATGCATTGAGTAACGAATTATTATTAGGATTCTGATTCTTCCATTCAGTGTAATTAATGTAATCTATATGTGATACCTTCGGTAAATATTAATATAATTGAGTACGTGGATCAGTTTGTCCCCCCTCACCTTCCCCCAATGTAAGAAATATTTCCTTTCTTCTTCAATTTAAAATATCACGTGAATCTAAATGCGAATCTAGATTTGGAAAAAAAGAGGTGTACAGCTTTCAAGCTATTGAAACTTTGAAACAGAAACTCATGCTGTGTGAAATAATCCTAAGTCTACAGCATTACATATAACTTTTGCATTGCCCTGTAATTAAGCAAAGTAATCAGAAACAGAAGAATATGAAAATAATTGTATTGTGCGAAGAGTCATGAAGTTGGTTACAATATAAGTTAATTCTGACCTTTGTACACGAATAATAAGCCTAAATAAAACATGAAATAAATAAGAGTTGCCTTCAGCTTATATTGCAGCAACCCAGTGCCACTTCCCATAGTGCAGTTAGCGATCACTTCACATTATGTACTCGACACTTGTTACAATAACCACTCATTACAGCGACCGGCGCAAAAAAAGTCCTGAATATTAGAGCATTTATCCTATCTTACTTTCACATCCCGCAAAACGACCTCTTAGGATTATTTATTCCAATGCAATATCCAAATTCAATTCTTGTTTTAAATAAAAAATTCTTTAAAACATCCGTAATAAGCAAGACCTGATTTTTTTCGTGGCTTTTCCTTTATTTTCCGGTTCTATTTAATTTTAGAAAGAAACACTGCCTTTTTAAACTTGATATATTGTTTTCCATGTTAATATTTATTTGATAACAACGTGAATAAGAACCGATATCGTGTACTGTGTTTTGAATTTCTTTAAAAATCTTAATTTTATGCATTTTCGTTAAAGCGACCGCTCGTCATAATGTTTTGTTTCTCTAGAATGCATGGGTTTTTTATAATGAGAATGGATTACAGATTTTTACAGAGAATGGATTACAGAAGTAATTATTAAAATATTGTATTATATTCCTGTGCAAAAGGCTACATTTAAGCCCTCTATGACTCAGATTACTTTGGATACCACTGATCTGCACTCTTAAGTTTCTGTATCCCTACCTTCTATAACTAAACGCGTATATTCATTTACACTCATGTCCATAAATTAAGGATAATGCAAAATCAGGCAAAGGAAGAGTTAGAAGCAAAACAAATTTGACTTATTTGTAAAGCTTATTTATTAAACAAAAGGTAAAGAGCACAAAAAGATGCAATATGTTTGGATTATTAAAAAATTAGCGATTTTTTTGTCCTGGAGCAACTTACAAAAAAACCTATTACAAAAAAAACAATATTACATGGTTGGTATGACTGTTATAGATGTATGTCTCCCAGACGATGCAATACAGTCCGTACCACGCCTAGGCATGCTGAGTACAAATTATCGATGATCTTGGGGGATATTAACCACCACTCAAAAAGCATGCTCTCCAAAGTTCGGGTAGACATGTAGGAGGAGGTTGACGGGCTGCACTCGTCGGCCAAGCATGTCCCACACGTGCTCTACTGGATTCAATCCGTGAGAATGCGGCCAGTCCTTACGGTGATATCTTCCGATGAGGCATTCGCTTACGATGTTTGCACGGTCAGAACGGGCGTTGTCATCCATAAACCAAATTGCGCCCATGACGCCTCGAAACAAACGTACATGTTGTCCAGAGTGACGTCCCGATAGATTTGGCTTGTCATGGTTCCAATTGACATGCAGATTATTCTGGAACCCAGAATAATTCACCCCAAACGAGCACTCCTTCACTTCCGTACGTGTCGTTCAATGATGTTTTTCTTGGTGGTAACGGGTACCTGGAGCTCTCCATATGAAAGTCCATCGAGAATCAGACTGCAACTAAACCTGGGCTCATCGGAAACATCACCAAGCCCATTGTTGCGGTGTCCACAATGCATGCGCTCCTACTCCAGGCTAACCGCAGCGACAGTGAGTTTGCAGTTAAGTGGAACGCATCTGACAGATCTACGAGCATATAGACCAATCTGCCCTAAATGCCTGTACAACGGTCTGCCTTGAATTGTCGTACAGTGGCTGAAGAGAGCTGACGAGACAGGTCTGAGGCTGTACTCCGTCTGTTTCTTTTGGCAGTACTGCCAAATCCGGTCACATTCGGCGTTGTAACTCTGGGGCGACCTGTGCTGTAACGTCTAACTCACATTACCATCATCTTGGAATCGTTGCCAAAGCCTGGAGATTGACACTTTGGGCAATTCCAAGTTCATCTATACTTCCAGTTGGGTCCCCCACTTCCAGACGGCCGATAATTCTATCCGTAAAAAATCACCAAATGAGTCCTTTGTGTCATAACTATTCGTTATTGCACTGAATGCTTATAAATCGCTTGCGAACATTTTACTTCTTGCCTGTATTCCTTATATATCCACTCTCTTACACTCTCGTCATTGTGACGTACCATCGGTGTCATCTGTACTTCCTGAATTTGCATATGATTCTTGAAGATGTGTGTAGTGATTTTACAGGTGATATATTTATTTTAGAGTTCGATTTCCGCATGACTCTGAATTATCCTTAATTTATGGACATGAGTGTAGTTTTCAGGTTACTTTGGATACCACCAGTCCTTGCTATAAAGTTTCTGTATCCGTACCCTTATATAATAAACGCGTATATTCATTTAGTTTGTTAGCTTTAGACTTATCTTTTATGATATACTTCGTCTGATAAGCCTCTATACATTTACCGAAAAAACAAATGTTCGTATACCCATACTAAATTCGTATATGTGTTTATAGTGAAGGAAATTAAGTAAGTAGAGAATATGCTGTATATAACCTGATAAAATATGGCGACTAAAACAATAACAAGTTAGCTACCGAGTATTGCGCTAGCATATCCAGCATTTCTTTCGAGATAAAATAATACTCTTAGATGTTTTTTTATAGTTATTCGAGCATATATATACAAATATACATACATAATTTAGTAATTAATATCGCAGGATTTAAAAATTGTATGTAAGTCTATGACTTACATACAATTTTTAAACCCTGCGATATTAATTACTAAATTAAAGGATATACCGAGTTAAAAATCTCAAGAGTCTAATCATGCACGTTTCATTTAACGTATATAATTAGAAAATATGAATTTTTCTGTAGTAGTTTGTGGTTTATGTTTATCGTATATGTGCAAAACTCTACCAATATTATCGGTATTATGTTTTAATAATGTGGCAGCCTCTGGATATCTAAAGCAGTGGAATTGTGTTTATAACATATTGAATAGGTTAATCAGAAATATTATGCATGATCTTTTATAATGCCTCTCTGTGTGCGGATCATAATAAAAGCTATGCATTAAAATCCCTCCTTAGGATATCTCATGCACATAACTGTTGGTAGAAGCATGAGCAGCATTTGTTCGGAATATAGGCTATAGTAACGTACCAGTATTATAAAAGATACTGTTGTTAATCAAGGATTTTTTTCTTTTAAAGAAAAAGAACGGTGAATATTTCATGTGTGAATACATTTAGAAAACGAAGTATATAACATGAAATAGTTTCTAGCAAACGATGATAAATAGCAACATAGTTGCTATATTAATTTTAAAATGCTGGAATTGTTTCGAAAGAGCACAAGCCATTATCATCAGCAAATGCATGCCAGAAAATCAGCATCTGTATATTCAAGAAACGTATGCAATGATATCCATTTAAAAGGGCCAGGAGGGTAGAGACAAGGTTTAATAACGAAAAATTATGCTACATGATTCTATCAGTCATCTATCACTTTTCTTTCAGTCAGTTATAAGAATTCTTCGTAAAATTCCCAATTTTAGCCTTTTCCTGATATTCTACAGATGAACTGCAAAGTTTTATTACTTTGGCAAAACCGTTAACCAGATTTATTTCTACTTTCGTTTGCTCATTCATTCCTTCAATCCAAAAGTGCGCAAATGAAAAGGAAATAAAAGACTTGAGAAAAATCACAACAGTGACGGATTTAACAGCAAATTTAATAATGATCTTAGCATAGAGAATATTGTTTTTGATGACGATACTAGTATAGTTAGCTCGGAGAAGATAAATTTATAAGAACATCGAAGAATTAAAAATCCCCCCCACCGCTGTTAGCTGACTGAGGTAAGCTGATTTAAGAAAATTAGGCATAATCACCTAATTAATTTTAGAATCAAAGTTGCGGCACTAATTATTTAGAAAACGTATTATTTAGAAACTCTATGCGTTTAAGAAACGAAATTTATCTACCTCGCCTTAAAAAAATGGTAAATAGTCGAACGCAAAATGGCAGTGAAACGGAATTCGTACATTCTTTGTAATCCGTTTAAAACAGTTAAGGCGATGTTGACGATGAAAGACATTAATAAGGTTGAGATGATAAACTTGAAAATGCCTGATTCAAACACATACAGACCACGTCGAATGAACCTCGTTTCCGTTGTATTTCATTCCAAATTTTTACTCCTCTTTCTTCCGTCTAATTCGAAATGCGATTCGCCTCGAATAGCATTTAGATAACCAGGGAATGTCATGTTATAGTGTTGATATTAATAATAATAACAACAATATTTCTTCCATTCAGAGAATCTGTGGATCCTGTCTCGAAATAAAACTATAGGAGAAGAATTCAAACAGAAAATTTATGGCTACCTGGATAGCATAAATGTCAGCCGAGCTGGACTTGTGGACACTAATTTTGAAAACTGCACTTCTCAACAATATTCAGGTTAACAACTGTAACTCTACGATTGTCTTCATTCAAACATATAATTTATTAACTTATTTATAAAATCATTGAGAATGGTGGATATGTTCATCTTTTATACAGCAAGACAAAGCCAAGAAAACAAGGCCCTACATTTTGAAAATAGAAAAAGGAAAACGCATGGATTCATAATTTCCTCAGCTAGAAATTTTGAAATATACATACCCAAGCAAAAGAAACTAATTTTTAATATTCTAGTTCTCTAAAATCGTTTGCTGGATAATGCTTTACTCTTGCAACTCTCTGCCGATTCCATTTACTTTATAGAATTTGTTGAACAAAATCTCAGAGTTGGCAATCTCAGAGTCACCTTGTAATTCTGCAATCGCACAAACCGTATCATCTCTCTAAGCCTAAATCTCGCTGCTAAGAATTTATTCCTGAAGCAGTCATGATATTTAAAAAACTAAACTAAAACTCCATTTTGAAATTCAGATGGTGTTAATACTATCAATAGTAAAAACGAAGTATTCACAGATCCCCAGAAGAATCAAAAAGTTGTTCTAATAATTCTCATTCATTTACGTATAAATTTTATAAAATAAAAATCCAGTATATCCCCGACTGCTGTATCATCCTTTTTTTTTTTTTTTTTTTTTATCAAGTTTTATGTCACTTACTTCCTATAAAATTTGTTACATGTTTTAATTATAAACTTGATTTTTATAACTAAAATGACTGAAAAGCTTAATCTGAGTTATGATTGCAAGAAACGTATTTGTTAAATATATCAGTAACACTTCTGGGCTTTATTGCATTTAAAGTCGACAAGAACTTAAAATATCAGTACAACATTGACGTATATTTTTTTCCTCTACAAGAATATGGGCAATATTATTTAAAAATGTCTATTAATTTATTTAAATGCCGCTATTTGTATTTGAAGACAATATTAAATTATCTTTAAGTGCCTAAATTATTTATTAATTATCCATCACAAGCGTAATCTTTACTCTCCTTTAAGGAATCACACTATTTTCAAATTTTATAATAATAATTTGAACCAGATTATGTCAAAACATAATACAAAATCTTAGCTTACAAATATAACACAAAATTAATCATTAAATCGAGTTACATTGCATTCGATCATAAATTTAAAAATTTCTACCGAAAAAATAATGCGTGAATTAATATGATTATCTGTAATGCATTATGCAACTTATTAAAGTCCCTGTATAATATATATAGCTTACTGCGTCGAAATAAAATTGGAATAACATGTTTTAAAAAATGATACCATATCTATATAGCTTTGTGGTCTTCTAGTAGCATATAATACGTCCTGTGAACTTCGCACTCTTTACTTCACTACTACTTCTTTTTAATAGAGGGCACAAATCTAATGCAGTATAAGGAAGCAAGTATACTTATGTTTTTTCGTTCTTAAATGATGAAATCTGTTTTTATCATTTCTTTAGATAATCTACGATATTTTAAGAATAATTTAATGCATTTGTTACCAATTTTAATTGCTGAATCTCAAATACCCAAAATTTTAAGCACGGAATTTTTGAAAAATGCGATTTTATTCTTCAGAAAATTATTTATTATTATTTTTCTCTGTTAATAGTATATAACTGCATATTTCCGTCTTCATCGTTGCGCATTCAGTGCAAGAAGTTGCATTTTTCAGTATAAGAATGCTGTTTCCATAAGCAGGACCAGAAAAATGATCAGAACACCACTTGCCTCAGGTGAAAAAAAAAAAAAAAAAAAAAAAAAAAAAAAAAAAAAAAAAAAAACAGTGCCCGAAAGAGAAAATTTAAATTGCAACAAACATACACTTATTTATATACGAATTTAATTAATTCGCATCACTTGTCCTTATACTTTAGGTAGTTGAAATCCATTTTCATTTATTTATAATTTTTTGTTGCAGTTAATTACAAATTAATCTCAAGCATAGAACTGAAAGGGATTTTGCGTCGTAAAACGAATAAAAGTATTCCGATTAACAACATTAATTCATTCACAGAACTATTACAGTTCAATACTAGCGCAATCTAGACAAATTCTCTCTTAAGCCGCAATCCTTATTCATCCTTTGACCTTTCGATTGATTTGAACTGCAGTTGCAGAAACAGGCTCCAGACAGAAACCACGCGCAGTCGATTCAAAACGTTTGCAGCAATTCTACTAATGATTTAAAAGAAGACAATCTCCATTTCAAAAATTTTCAACTATAAAGTTTTAATGCGTTTTCAGCTTAGTATGGAAAGTCGTACCGCTCACATATAATATGAAAATAAGACGATAAATAAAGTAAACAAACTGCGATAAATACGCCAATATTTCAGTTACCACTAAACTACTTCTGAAGAAACCGTAAGCTTACACAAAGAAAAATATTTTCAATAATACACATACAGTAATATTAACTATAAACAATAATTATTGTAAAAAAAAATCAAATTTCCTCATTTGCGCGATACATTGAAAAGATATAAAATGGGTCCGTAAATAATAAAAAGATTTTTTTTTTTTTGTCTTCTGCTACCAAACAAGACGGAAAAACGCGCAAAGAAATTATTATTGTTGCCTGATTGTTAACGTAACACTTGCGATATTGTAAAGCATTATGCATTAAAACTTAGATTCCCAAAGCATCTAACAGCACAGCATGCAGTAATGAAGGATGTTTAGGATATGCGTTTGCGTACCTACAGTTCAGCACCAGCCATCACCAAAGCGTGCGTGTTTTATAAAAATCAAATGTATGGCAGGTACTAAATCACAGCAAAGTCTATCCTTATCTTCCGATACTCGTGCAGGTTTCGATTGTCTAGAGTCATGAATGATTATGATTTTTGTAACTTGATTTTAAACACCCTAATAGAAACTACATCCTTGTGGATACATAAAACCATGCTCTCTAGAAATAATACTTTTAACACTGACAAACGGGCTAGGTACCTGGGGTTTTCCCCTTTGTAAAATAAATAAAAGATAAATTTTCCTTAGAAAGTCATTCATGACGGCATCCCTTAGTCGGACAGCCTCAGAAGTTTTGCCTTATTATTTTGCTATTCAAATCTACGAGTATGATTTCAGAAACATTACTTTCACCGTTTACTTAATAGGTGGTGAACTGCGTTAAAAATAACATAAGTTGGACCCCCGTTTTGATTGCACATTGATTAGACATAAAAATGCTGATTTTTTGTGTGGTCTAGTAGTATCTGACCTCCAATATAATTCCAATATATTTTTGCTTTTATTCACGCAGAAAAGCTACCACCTAGGCTTTCTTGAGAAACAAAAGTTTTGGAACATGGAAGTTCAGTGAAACAGACACCAAGTTCATAAAATTTGACTCCCACAAATTTTTACATTTCGGTTATCTAGACAGACAGATTTGTGCGATGCAGCCAAAAAGCACACAAGGCTGAAAATTTGCATAACTTCCGCTACAGAACAACACGCAGCAAAGAATTTTCTCTATAAAAATAAATGCGTCAACTTGATACGTCCAGGAAGCAAAATACACTTCTGTCATCAATTGCTTTCGAAAACATAAGAAATTTATCTGTTCAGTGTTATTTTAATAAACAAAACACATTTTAAAATCTTTTTACTGACAATACTTAATTTGAAAACAACAAAATTATAAATATTAAAAATGACACATTTAATTTAACTATAGCCAATACACAATAATGACCCATATTTTTTTCTGTAGAAAATTGTTTGACACATGTTAACAGGAGAGGGCCAAAAACTGCATTACCGAAGACCAAAGGGGGGGTCTTACAATGCTGCTTACAGGAAAGTGCATAGTGGTCAAATATGCATTGCACCTGATAGTGGTTATTTTGAATAGTATCTATACTAGTGTTCATGAAGATTTGTTCATTGTTTCTCAGTTATAAAAAAAATTTACATAATTTTTTCTTTTTGTAAACCTCATTCAAATTCATGTGCAATCATCTGGTCTTAAAAATTTCTCTCTAGTGCTAGATACTTTTGCCAATTTTGCATTGTTTTTTTATATGGGTATTAATTTTTTTTTTAATTCTTCACTATCGTTGCAGCAAACTTACTGAATTGATAATTTTTAGTAGCTTTCCTACTCCCTTGAAACTAATATAAGCATTTCTGAATTATATTAACAAGCCTTGCTTTGTAAATAAACCGAAAACAAAATCTAGAAAACCTTAAAACGATTCCATTAAAAAAAGCTTAACTGCTATTGTCTGAAATATGGGGATTGTTCTTATAACCCAGAGTGCTACCCTTTCTTACTTTAATGTGAACTGTCAGTTCATCTGTTATTCCCTGTTCTTGGCATAAAGTGGAATGAAAATTTTGAGGCTTATTTGCCAGAGCACTTCAACAAATGGAGTAATGTCATGTTTAACAGCCAGCTCCTGTTTACACTATTTATGATGCTTATATTGTTTATAATACTTGAACTGCAGCATAAATGCAACAGCTGATGCATACTGCAGAAAATATGACATTCATATAAGAAATACTGATAACTGAAACTTTTTGCTTTTTAAGATTTTCTTTCGTATACTTGGTAAAGTAAGAAAACTTTGGAAAATTGTTGTTAAAATGATGTAGTTGGGCTTGCTTTTAAATCATCTTTATAAGGCAATGACCAATACTGTTTAAAATAAAATGAAGCAGAGTTTCACAATAGATTTTTTAAATGTACATTTTTGTTGTACGCCCGCTTAATTTATAACAGAGACAAATAATTAGTAAGCACAACAATAAAAGAAAAATTAACATGCTAAGACATATGCCAAGTTTAAACTCAAATTATGAAACATCCCTGATTCTACAGTACCCCTATTTAATGACAATGTTCATTAATCTTTCTGGAATCCATAAATTAGTATTTGACGATACATATCTTATTTCTTTGAGTCTAAGTAGCGCCTTTTTACCCTCTCCATACAAATATTAGAACTCAGATGTGCCTTACAAATGTTTTAAATTTCATACTTTTCCGAATTACTATTTATTTCAAAGTAATTAATTTTGCCAGACTGCTTATTTAAATTAATATACTCTTTAATAAAATTAATTAGCTCTTCATAAATTAAAATTTGCTATTAAAAATATTTTCTAGATGCATTTGAGGATATTATTCCTTATTTGCTTGGAATAAAAGTCTAACCCATCAGTGGACAAGACAGCTAGCTGAAGACTAGTTATACTCTTGTTTGAACTTCAACAAATGAGCTAGCTGCACAGGCATTTTTGCAATTTTCTCTATGTGTAATGTAAATGAGAGCCAATTTCCTTCAAAAAGTTCTAGATGAAAGCATCCTTCTCTTTAGACACGTAACTTTTATGTGCTTTGTTAAATCAAATAAACAAACCCTTAGAAAATCTTTTACAAGATGATCCCCTTCCTCAAAAGGAATAGAAGTCTTTTTCTTGGTGGTGGTGTTAAAATTAAAGGGGGAGTCTTATCAATGGCTTCTTAGAATCAAAGAAATATTTATTTGATAAAAGTGGTTGTGTCTTTACTAAGAAAGTATTATATATATATATGTAATGGGGGAGTTGAAGATGCTAAATAACAATTCCAACATGTTTTCCACACAGAATATTTAATAAAGAAAATCAGAGGAAGGTACAGATTAGATTAATCACAAGTGCCGTTTAATCCAAACAGGATTCTGTATAGCTTTTGCCTGTCTTATCACATAACTGATTAGTGCCTACTCGCACTTGCTGATGTATTACACAGTCAATTTACCACCTTCGCATGGAAAACTACATTTCCTTATTCTACACCTTCACGTGTAGACATCGCACCACCTTCACATGGGATAGTAGAAGAAAGTCTCTGTCATACTCCTCTTTCACCTCACTCTCGCTGCTGGTGCATCGGTGAGGCCCTCTGGTGTTTGTGTCTCACTTACAGATACCACACACACACACACACACACATATATATATATTTATGCATACATAATTTATTTTCAAAACAAGGACTATAAATATTTTTCTCAAGTTGCTTAAAAATGTACATGGAAGCCCAACAGATAAAAGTGCAAGTCTGAATTAAAGATAAATAATAATAATAATAATAATAATAATGTCAAATTATCAATAATTAAAATCAACATTTTTTCTTAATTTCTAAAAATTACAACTAACTGAACACATTATGAAAGGGGATTCAAAATATAACAGGGATTACTGCAGTTACAGATCACTGTGTGTCCCTGAGTGAATACAGCCACTACCCGATCTTACAAATTAGAACTTGTTTGACCAAGCCTGGCAGCTGTGAGAAAGATGAGCAAACAGTTGCATCAGGGCAGAAAACGGGCAGAAAACAACATTCATAGTTATTCTAACTTATGATTCTTTAATAAAACTGCACTAAATAGAGGGCAGTGTACTTAAATGCCTTAACTGTGTTAAATACATGATATATCACAGTGTCATTTCATACTGGAGTCTAAGGGAAAAAAAAAAAAATCAAATGAATTATTGCAGTAATAATAACAATTTTCAGGTCCTTTCTGCTTTATGACAGTCATTGATAGGAGGCTGATAAGGCTCCACGTTATCAGATCCTGCAAAGCATCAGTCCTTAGAAATACAGATAGGAAAAGAATCCATTCTTAGAAATACAGATAGCAAGACAGTTCAGCTTAAAATTCAATAATACACTATACATGCGATTTTTGCTTAAAAGTTTGCCACTTTTAATTTAGGTCATCCAATTAGTCTCTTAATTCTGAAACCTATTTTTTTACTCTGATAGTATAAAAATTATTTGAAATACAGCAAGAAAGAAAACTTGAAATAAATACATACGTAGACAAAAAGGAGGATTTCATAACAGTACCACAGTCAAACACACAGCAAAAACTAATGATCAATGAGTTTAAAAATATATTTCTCATAACAAATATCTTTTAATCCAACAAAAGAAGTACCCATAAACCGCTAATAAAAAGTTTAACAAATTCTAATTAAAATATACACAAAAGAAGAACTTTCATCACATCTTCCTGAGGCCAAATTATATAAATAAAGCTGGATTTATCACCTTACAACAATATTCACAGAAATGGTCAACTTTTAACAAAATCATACATATATTTTTATAATTTATAAGCATGTAAGTCACACTTATATCACATTTAAAACAAATGGACAAATTAATTTACATAACACTATATATATCCTCCAATTAATCTCTTAATTCTGGAACATATTTTTTAAATCTGATAGTATAAAAATTAATTGAAATACAGCAAGAGAGAAAATTAAATACAAATGCACATGAAAAGGAGTATTTCATAATAGTACCATTGTCAAACTAATGAACATTGAATAAGAAAAAGTGGTTGTGTCTTTACTAAGAAAGTATTATATATATATATATATATATATATATGTAGTGGGGGAGTTGAAGATGCTAAATAACAATTCCTACGCGTTTTACACACCACAGAACATTTAATAAAGAAAATCAGAGGAAGGTACAGATTAGATTAATCACAAGTGCCGTTTGATCCAAACAGGATTCTGTATAGCTTTTGCCTGTCTTATCACATAACTTATTAGTGCTTACTCGCACTTGCTGATGTATTACAGAGTCAATTTATCACCTTCGCGTGGAAATAATTGAGTTTAAAAATACATTTCTCATAAAAAATATATTTTAATCAAACAAAAAAAGTAACCACAAATTGCTAATAAAATGTTAACAAAATCTAATTAAAATCTACACAAAGAACACTTTTCATTACATCTTCCTGAGGCCAAATTATATAAATAAAGATGAATTTATCAGCTTATAACTATATTCACAGAAATGGTTAATTAACTTTTAAATACAAAGTCATACATATATTTGTGAAGAATGCAAGTCATACTTATATCACATTTAAAACAAATGCACAAATTTATATAACAATAGAAATCAATATACTGATTTAAATCTTCATTAAAAATACTGTCGAATTAACAGCAACTCAGAAACTGACAATTTATCAATTTTAATCTAGTCAAAGTTCAACTGAAAAACAAAATGAGTAGTATGTACGATGATGATAACAAAAGATTAGTGTATTCTACGCAGACACAAATTTATTTTTAAAACTAAAAACGTATATAAATCATAATCACTGATATAATTCTGAAAGATAAACATTAACTCAATTCTGCCCCCCCCCAAAAAAATGCTTAAACCAGGTGTACTTTTTAATGAGTACTTGTGATTCACACAATGAAAAGCAATGTACTTGGCCCAAATTTTGCACAGAATGAGTATTATTGAAACATAAAAAGCATCAAATTTTATATAACCAATACTGAATAAAATCTATTTCAGAATGCTGAAATAAGATTTTAATCAAAACTGTTGAAATATCACATTTATTAAAATGTACTTTTTGTTGGATCCACATTTCACCGGACATTTATTAGATAACTAATGCTTTGTAGACGATTCTCCCTCATTCTTTGAGAAGCATAACAAAACATAGTATAAAGACAAGATATATTTGTGGGCATGCAAAAAGTAGGCATTAGAACAAATTTTTTTTACACGTATTAGGATAGAATAGCTACAAATTAATTTTAACTTTTAACCCTCTACGCGCCATGATCGGTATTATCCGGTCATCAAATTTTTTACTCTGATAGTATAAAAATTATTTGAAATACAGCAAGAAAGAAAACTTGAAATAAATACATACGTAGACAAAAAGGAGGATTTCATAACAGTACCACAGTCAAACACACAGCAAAAACTAATGATCAATGAGTTTAAAAATATATTTCTCATAACAAATATCTTTTAATCCAACAAAAGAAGTACCCATAAACCGCTAATAAAAAGTTTAACAAATTCTAATTAAAATATACACAAAGAAGAACTTTCATCACATCTTCCTGAGGCCAAATTATATAAATAAAGCTGGATTTATCACCTTACAACAATATTCACAGAAATGGTCAACTTTTAACAAAATCATACATATATTTTTATAATTTATAAGCATGTAAGTCACACTTATATCACATTTAAAACAAATGGACAAATTAATTTACATAACACTATATATATCCTCCAATTAATCTCTTAATTCTGGAACATATTTTTTAAATCTGATAGTATAAAAATTAATTGAAATACAGCAAGAGAGAAAATTAAATACAAATGCACATGAAAAGGAGTATTTCATAATAGTACCATTGTCAAATTAATGAACATCGAGTTTAAAAATACATTTCTCATAAAAAATATATTTTAATCAAACTAAAAAAAGTAACCACAAATTGCTAATAAAATGTTAACAAAAATCTAATTAAAATCTACACAAAGAACACTTTTCATCACATCTTCCTGAGACCAAATTATATAAATAAAGATGAATTTATCAGCTTATATTCACAGAAATAGTTAATTTTTAAATACAAAGTCATACATATATTTGTGAAGTATGCAAGTCATACTTATATCACATTTAAAACAAATGCACAAATTTATATAACAATAGAAATCAATATACTGATTTAAATCTTCATTAAAAATACTGTCGAATTAACAGCAACTCAGAAACTGACAATTTATCAACTCTAATCTAGTCAAAGTTCAACTGAAAAACAAAATGAGTAGTACATACAATGAGATTAGTGTATTCTATGCAGACACAAATTTATTTTTAAAACTAAAAACTTATATGAATCTTAATCACTGATATAATTTTGCAAGAAAAACATTAACTGAATTCTGCCCCATCCCCCAAAATGTTTAAACCAGGTGTACTTTTTAATGAGTACTTGTGATTTACACAATGAAAAGCAAAGTGCTTGGCCCAAATTTTGTATAGAATTTGTATAGAAATAATAGGCATTAGAAAAAAATTTTTTACACGTATTAGGATAGAATAGCTACAAATTAATTTTAACTTTTAACCCTCTACGCGCCATGATCAGTATTATCCGGTCATCAAATTTTTTTATCATTTGACAAATATTAGCTTATAATTTAGGTTATTTTGTTTTCTTACTTTCTTTAATAATGTAAATATCATCTTCATGAATCTAAGTTTATGAAAATGGAGACCAAAATAACTAATTTTACAAATTCAGCTAATAAATGCAGTTTAAATACAGGTCTTCATGATAGATCTAAAATCTCACGCCGCTGAGACGGTTTTAATGCGTTTCCATTTATTTTTATTTTACATAAATAAGAAAAAACCACATGAAGTCACTATTCTACGAATATGTGAGAAATTCCAAACAATTAAAATTAACTTAATTCATAATAGAGAGGTAAATGATAAAAAAAAGACACTTCCAATAAATCAGTAAACTGGGGGGGATTCTTTGTTTACATTTTCTTCTCACAGCTTGGAAAGGAACTGAATGTTTTTAACCAATAATTTGATGCCTTTCGAATCACATGAAAAATGATCTAATCTGACACTACACAAATATACAAAATCAATTGAAAGAAATTAATAACTACACACTACTACTTTAATATATTATTACATACTGTATAAGATCTGGTACAGAAATTATTTGTTCTGTGTTGCACTTATCAGTTTTGAAACATTCAGCAGACTACTTGAAATTTTATTAACACTTTTTTGGGGGGCGTTTTAAAAGTCTGATTGGTAAATCTTTTATAATTACATTAGCTATTTATTTTTCATTTGAAATTAAAAGTATTATGCAGTAATGAATTAAAATCATCTAGCTTACATGTTTGTTTACTAATAAGGAAATCAAGTTTCCTTTAATGTATACAATGACATAGACTACACACAACATATTTTAAATTTATATTATGTATGCTATAATCTATATATTTTGATTACTTAAGTTATACTGAAACAGATTTTCTAATATTTACAACAAATGTAGATAACTTCTGAATTTAATCTGAATATAGACTACAAGTACACAATTCTGCTGGGTTATATCAGAAAACATTTTACTTAATGCTGCAATTAAAGAGGACGAAACTACTAACATTCAGTATAAAATTTCAGCATCACACCAAAACCATATCTTTCTTTGAGGAAAAACATTAAATATCTGACACGCTAAGGAAAATCGAGTTATGCCATTTACATAAAGCTTTTGATATCCTGATTACAATGAAGGCTAATGGACACTGTTTCCGTATTAAAAATGTATTATTTGGGATCCTGCAGCAAGCCATTAATATTTTTGCAGAATGGAGACACACATTCTGCTGTCCTGAAGTCTTCTCCAGATACTGAGGGTACAAAAAGAATTGAAAGAACCCTTTTATGCTGGGGATCATCATTCAAAATAAGAATGAATATGGTCATGGTGGTATTGTTTCGACTGGTTTTTATGGAAGCAATGGTAGCAGCATAGCTTAAACTACATGACAAACACAGATTTCCAATATGGATACAAATACACCCACTCACGATTATTCATGATACCTGCCCTTATGGTTAACTTGAGGGTTAAATATGTTGAATAATAATAAAAATTAATAACATATATTTTATACGAATCTCAGAAAATGTACATCTCTCTTTTCCAGCATGATTTAAAACAGTAAAAAACAACCCAGAAAATGCTGGCAAGTATAAATGCAAATTCATAGTTGTGGTGTGGAGCTGACAAAATAAATATAATTCTGCAGTTTATCTTGAATGCAAGTATATACATAATTGAGCAACTGAGTTTGTGTAATGAACATTGATAACATTAGTTTTCTTTAAAAGCTGTTCAAATAGGCCATCAAAATACAACTCATTTCCATGATATATAAAAAAACAGGTGCCATTTTCATCATTATTCAGTTTCATTCAAAAGATTCCTGGAAAAAAAGCAATTGCACAGCATTAGACTTTTCAATATAATTTTGTTTAAAATGAAACACACAAAAGATTTAAATATTATCTATTTTACGAGGAAAGCTTTTGAAGACTTTCTACCAGAAAATGGTTTACATTCCCTTTGCATGCAGCATAAACTATAGAAGCCTTATTCTAAGTATTATAACTATGATTTAAAATTTAAATGAACATTAAGAACCAAATCCCTCTAGCACAGTCAAACATTTAAAAAACATACAGAGTGGCAAAATCTTAAGATTTTCATAACAATATACAACATACGATTTTCAGTTGAAAATGTCACATACTCTAATACAACATAGTTACAAATCTGATGACAGACTTTGTCTTCAAGATGATGGTGTTAAAATCAAACACTACAATGCTAAGTAGGAATGTTCTTCAAATGATGTTTCCTGCCTTTGGATTCTAAAATTCTGATTACCTGATCACATAGTCTCAGACTTCTTTCTATAGAGGTTTGTCAAATGCCAAGTATATGATGTCAAAGTCACCAAATTCATATTATAGCAACACTGCATCAAGATTATGCAGATTTTTATTCATGACAGCATTAATTCTAATGGAAACCACTTTTATAATCTAATTATTAAAAATTATGTATGTCTCAATAAGTTGCAGTAAACCTTATTCCTATTTCTAAAGCTGCATATGAATATTTTTGACCCATTTCCTAAAGCCTTTTCCTATCACAAATCCTTCATTGAAAATGTACAGCAGTTTTATATGTGAGCTCCAAATGTATTTGACAAATACTGCAATAACATTTCTAATTGTGATTAGCAAAAAGATATACTTAACTATTTTACTACATTAAAAATATCTCATTTTGAACAGATAAGTAAAAATTATTAAAAAAATTACTGCATTCATTTAACTCAATAAGGTCACACTCATTTAATAAGCAAATGAAACTTACCTCTTCTCATAATATATTTCACCCATGATCTAAACATGAAAACAATTAATAATTTTCTTATTTACTGTTTCAGAATTAATACTATAAATTTATTTCTCAGATAATATTCATTTTATGTTATATATTTACTGTTTCAAAAGAAGATAATAATAAAACTTAAATAATAATAATAATAATAATGGATATGCAGTGTACTACCACTTACTGGATGCAACTGGTTAAGAAACTTAAATGGAAAGCTAGTTAGAAAACAGATCCCTTTAAATAAAATGTCAATAATTTTTATCAAGAAAATATTCAGTTAGAATTCTCTGATTTCATATCTGAAAAGAATGACTGTTTAAGCAGACCAACATTAAATATTAATAAAGTATAAAAAAATCAAACACATTTCAAAATTTGATGACAAAGCACAGCTATTAAATGCTGATTACAAAGAAAAAGAATTTTCCAGCAAGATTTCAATCCCATGAGTGGGAAAAACTTGCAGATATAAAAATTAGTGCTTGGAATATATTAAAAAAACCAACTAATGGAAGAAATATTTAATCACTTTGGTGTCAACTATTACGAATATTAAGATGGTAATCAGATTGCATTATGCTTCGCAGGCACAAAGGTGCAACAGAGAGTTTTCACTGATATATAAGTTTTAACCTCAGAAGAAACACAGCTGATTGTAGAAACACTGAAAGCAATATTACAACTGCAATTTTTTTGCCAGAAGTTCAGTTGCCAGAAGTTTCTTAAAAGTATAGTAATAAATATTATTATTAGAATTCTGAGCGAGATCTATTTTTCATCTCAATGAGTCGTCAGGATTTGAACCTGCGCAAGGAAACTCCAATGGATTTCGAGTCAATATCTACAAAATTCAAAAACGTGTTTATCTGCAAGTTCGAAAGTTCTGATGCCCAATGAAATGAAATGTGGCATTACTTCTTCAATATTTAGGGGGGAAAGTGTGCTTCAAATCATTAAAGTGAGTCAATGCTTAGATTCAGCATTACAATTAGTTGAAGGTTGTCAAATTGTATTTAATGTGCTTCAGGTATGTGCAATAGAAAATCACTTTTTGCACTTCCACTTTTCCTAACAGCATTTTGTCATTCGAAAACTCAAAATTCTTATCTTCATGTGAACTTAACTCAGGTTTATTTTGCAATTAGACACAATTACTAAATATGCTGCTAACTCGTTTATTTTTCTTGTAAATTTTGCTTAAAGTTCCTGCTATTTAATTGCACTGTTTTGCAAAAATATGAAATTATTGTTCAAGAAATGAAAGCATAATTTTTGTAATATTACTTCAAATGATGTTTCAAATGAAAATTAATCACATTAAAATATTTTGAAATTTCTTTTGATTTCGTAATATAATTAATATATGTATTTACACACTTTTATATTTGAAAAGTGGGTGCGCTGTAGATTTACCTCCTTGTGGTGCATCTGGTAACACTTTATAGTGGCCAAAAGATCTACAACTGGCATTATGTCTCCTCCTCCTTGGATTGATACTCTTCGAGTGTAACAGTGGAACACTGGCAGACTGTCCCAATCCAAACACGCAGAGCTTTTGCAGATTCTGTGTGAAAAGGCCATTGATGTCTTTACTATCATGGAAGCTAATTTGACTTTCGAAAACCTAAAATATTATCCTTTTAAAGGATATTCTCTTCACATACTTACAAAATCTTGAAAAGTTGCCAGTCGTGTACTGATTGGTGTCAAGAAAAATTTAACAGCCGATTTTCGCATCATAAAAGAGATGGGTGTTGATAGTGATGGAAGTGAAGTTGTACATTTGGATATTTGGAGCTCATTTTAAAATTCTGGCTATTTACAGCCCTCCTTGTAACCATCCTGACTCTTCCTATGTTAATCATTGAAAACATCCTATTTTTTTAGGAGATTTTAATGCTCATTCTCCCATGTTCGGATATTCTGACACAAATGAAGCTGGAAGGAGAGTCCAGGACCTCTTCAGCTCGACTACTTTTGAACTAATGTACAAAAAAAATTATCCCCATACGTATCTGCATTATACTGGTAAAAGTACAACACCAGATCTGTTGATAGTCACTGCTGACCTTTACAATCTCACAAAGTGTAGGATCTTGAAGGATCTTGGATCAGGACATAGACAGGTGCTTGCAGAAGTTAAAGTACCCAAAGCAGATCGGAGGCCCTTTTTGCCTTCAAAAGTCTCTTGAAATTTTAAGAAGGCGAATTGGCATCTCTTTACTGAATTGATGGAACATGGCCTTAAGCATGATAAACTTTAAATCCTAATAAAGTTTATAGAATTATCAAGGATACAATGATATCTTGTGCTAAAAAGCCCATCCCTAGAGGAAGGCAAAAGAAATATAAATACTTCTGGACAGATGAATTGACCTCCATGAAAGCTAAGAAAGACAGGATTAGAAGAAAGGCAGAATTGACCTCCTGACCCTGCGATATTTAGGCATGGAGAAAACAATCTGCATACTTTAGGAAGGCCCTTATTGCCAGTAAACGATCGTCATTTATTTATTTCAAAAGTAAATTACCAAACTGATAGTAAAAGAACGTTTAAATTTGTAGGCAGCCTAATGAATGATCCTGCTGGCTCACCTAAACAAACCTTCATAGTTAAAAGATAAACAACTTTATTCGGATTCTTCTGTAGCAAATGCTTTTGCACAGCATTTCTGTAGAGTTAATAACAAAAACACAAATGCAAAAATACATTCGTCCAGAGTTAAGCAAAAAACTACACTCCTGCAGTCAGAATTTGAATCTTCTACGGATTCCGTTTTTGAGGCACCCATTACTCGAGACGAATTGACCTATGCTTTAAGAAGCCATCCTTGTGGTAAATCCCCTGGTGGAGATAGAATCCATTCTGAGTTTCTCTCCTATCTTGGTCCTAAAGCATTTGAGACTGTCTGGACTGTCTTTTTCAATCTAATTTGGAACACTGGTATTGTACCAGCTGAATGGCGAACTTCTATCATTATTCCCATATATAAGAAAGGCTAAGATCGGGCTAGTCTCATTAACTATAGACCAATATCGCTTACTAGTATTACGGGGAAGGCTATGGAGAAAATATTTGTGAGAAGACTTAATTATTACTTAGAAACTTGAGGACTTCTTGCCGAGGAGCAGGCGGAGTTTAGGAGCTCGAGATCTACTAACCAACATGTTGCTCTCCTGAGTCAATGCGTCAAGGATGCCCTTGATAACAGACGGGTTCTGACCGCAGTTTTTATTGACCTCAAGTCTGCCTACGACAAAGTATGGCAGGAGTGCCTCCTACTGAAACTGTCAGGGCTAGGCATTAGAGCAAATCTTTTTAATTGAATTGGAGGCTTCCTGTGCCAGCACTCTTTCAGAATCAAGTATGCAATGCTCTACCAAAATCTAAGATCTTAAAAAACAGGTCTCCCACACAGAGCTGTTAGTATCTGCTCCTTTTTTAACATCTATATTAATGATTTGATTTATAAAATACGAGAGATTTCTGGCATCAAGTGCCTCTTATACACTGATGATTTGGTCTTCTGGACAGTTTCTAAAAAAGAAAGTGCAGTGTGAAACATAGAGACTAAACTCTCTGCTGCCTTGAATGCTTTGGAAGTTTGGTGTGATACTAATAATATGGAGGTGAACTTAAATAAATCATATTGCCTGACTTTCTCACTTATCCACCAATCTTTGGATCATCAGCTGACGTATAAGGGTACCCTAATCCCCTTGTGTGATAAATTTAAATATTTAGGTACGGTGGTTGACTGCAAACTAACATGGAAGCCACGTGTAGAGGACTTGTCCAATCGTGCTACGAAGGGACTCAGTGTCCTTAAACGCCTTGTTAGGGCAAGGCGGGGTTGCACTAAACAAACCCTGCTCGAAACTTATTCGTTTATCCTCCCCCTTCTGACTTACTGCTGTGAACCACTTGTGGCCATGGAAAACGTACTCTAGAAAAAATCCAAAATCAGTGCTTATGTATTGTTTCTGGAGTCGTGAAGACCACCCCGACTGATGCCATGTTTATGTTAACTGGTGATAAACCCTTAAGAACCGTAATTCAAGATAGGGCCTTAATTCTCTGGAAAAAGGTCATTAGAGTTCTTGGATGTCTTTCACTCTGGAATGAAGCAAGATCTGACTGGAAATCTAAAGACCCAGATGAGCTTTCTACAGAGAGTTTTTCAGTTAAAACATTCACTTGGTTTAATGAGTGAACCAGAATTACTTGTTCCACTACAAAATCCAATAAATTTGAAATCTTTCTGGATTAATCTTGACCTGGGTCAAGGTAACCAAAAGTAATATGGATCCCTCTATTTTGAGAGCCCTCGCTAAAGAAGTATTAAACAATTTTTACCCTGAATCAGAGTGGCTTCATATATTTACTAACGGATCCCTCCTCTCTGATGGCCATAATGCAGGTGCCGGAATTTGCTCCGAATTGCTGTGATTCTGTACCAGCTGCCATGCCACTTAGGAAAATTCACAAAAGCTGTTATACTCAGAGATTCCCGAGCTGCTTCATTTGCTATCGTTTCAGATAAAAATCCCATATCACAGAACGTAGTGGATTGTCAACATTATCTAAAAAACCTGGCATCACTTGAGAAAACTATAGTCCTTCAGTAAGTTCCTGTCCACTGTGGGGTTTGAAGTAATGAGAAAGCCGACAAAAAATGGTGCTTTAATCATGCAGAATATTTCTCGTCCTTTGCCTTTCCATACTCTTAAGGATCTTATTAAAATATCTTTCAAAGTACGAGCTCAGGAAGGTCTCTAGCATCGTGTTTTCCATAAGTCTTGGAAGAATGCTATCCCGAATTTATGTAATGGCCCAAGGCGTAGAGCAGTCGCTGAATTCTGCCTTGCCACCGGACATGACTGCCTACAATATCATCTTTATAGATTCAAAATTGTTTCTTCTTTGATATGCACTCTGTGCAGAATATGTAAAATAATATGTGTGCATAAATATGTAAAAGAAAGTTTTGGTTTTATATTGACAATTACAATTTTTATAAGAGACTTTCAAGCTAAGGATTGCAAAATATTATGATTACGATATTCAAGCAAAAATTTTACAGAAATGTAAACTTTTCCAGTTATTTCTTAAAAAAATTAAAAACGTTTTTACAGTACTTTCACAGAAAACAACTTGCAGACTTTCAAAATTTCAATAAATTTTTCAATTTGCATTTATTGTTAAAAATCAAATCCATAATTTTCTTTTATTTTAAAAAATTATTTAGATCAAAACTTTATGATTTTTTCCCACAATTGTATTTTCCTTGTTTCGCTAGTTTTTTTCTAAAAAGCCTTTTCCGTCGTGAAGCCTTTTTCTCTTTGAGAGGGGAGGGGAAAATATGTAAAATAAAAAATATGCAAATCAAAATTATAATTTAAATCAGAAATAGTCCTTAATTCCTTCCCCCTCTATTCTAAAAATCATGACAACTTTTCTGGACTGCGTCATTTTTAGATCAAACCATCTCACATCGCGTGTGTATCGTTGACGACGTAGCTAATTCGGAACTTGAACACAAAATTTTGAGATGTGAAGCCTTTCTAACCTAAACCAAATCCTTCACCCAAATTAAAAATGAGGAGCTAAGAGGCTACTACTAAATTAAATTACAAAGTTGATTTACATATTTTTATCTATCATATATTATATATACATACACACATATACACTAAGAAAGCATAGTGCTAAATGAAAAGAATAAAAAATACAGCATAATTCCAAATTTAAGTGAATAAAAACATTTGATTTTTTTTTTATAATTTACGCTTCTATGAGATATGATCATACCTGTCACATAACTTCCTGAGTCTTCACAGCCCTTGAGCCAAAAATGGAGCTTCCTATTCTAACGAAAGTACTGCCATTTTCAATCTAAAATTTGAAACAATATTATCAAAATTTTAAACAATATAAAAGATGGTACATGTAAATTAATTAATAACATTTAATGCAGGTAAAATAGAAATTATTTTATGGAAAAAAATATAGCATCTAACAACTATATTTTGGGCATAACAGTGCTACTTTTTAAACTCTGGATATAGCATATATTTCAACATAGTAGTGGAGAGACATCTGGCTTTTATAACTGCAAGAAAACCACAAGTTGCATGTGCAATGGGTTTGCAATAAATTGAATGCACGCAGGTCCGATGATATGGTGATGAAATTTATTTCTACCCAAAGAAACACTTCAGAGATCTGGAACTTTCCACAGAAATAGTCATACAACTCTTCACAATATCATAAAGTACAATCAGTAGTTACCTTCAAACTACTATGAACGTTAAACAAAATGCAATGCAAAGCACATCTAAAGAGAAAGCTAGCCCAGAGATATTTCTGTACTCGGATGTCACACTGAATTGTCAACTCGCAAATGTGCAGCAATAGCCATTGAAATGAATGCAATTAAGTTGTACCACCAACGTTACCTTCTCTCAGCCATGCTAACTCTGGAATTGGACTCAATCTAAAAAAGGAGGAGAAACTTCTTTTCTTGTATGACTCATTCTTACGCCTTCTGCCATGGAGAGCTGATAAATGTTTGTACCATAGCTAGATATTTTTTTCCTTCTTATACCTAATAAATATGTTTTTTTGGTCTGCTAATAATAATAATTTGTGCTCTTACATACAGCAAGATGGATTACCCATTAACAAGGTAAGAGCTTTGATTCTGTTTTATTAATCTGTTTGTTGCAAATAACCCTGCATTTAGATAGTAAACAAATGAATCATGCAAACCTCAACAGCAACAACTGAGAGCAGATGCTCTCTCCAACCTTACACAGTTTTCAAATGGCCTTCTCTTTCTGCTTCTCGAAATTACTGGAAGGCTACATGAGGGTCAAATTACAGTTACAGCTAATACATTGTCAATTACATTTATTCAATTACAATACCTATTATAGTGATACTGGACCAAAATTAGCTGCCAAAACCGTTGCCAGCTTGGCAATATCTCGCCAAATTACCGAGATATAATGTTAAATGGACTTGCCCCTGTATTCTTACTTTTCCGGCATAGCTACCCTCTCTCGATTTTTCGTGTTACGTTACACAGAAAAATACAATAACTGTACTAAAATCATCTACCTATGTACAATATTTGTAACAATATTACTAAAATTGTAAACAATATAAAAGGAGGTACATGTAAATTAATAATATTTAATGAAGGTAAAACTGAAATTTTTTATGGAAAAAAAATATGGCAGCTCACAAGTATATTTTAAGCATAACATTGCTACTTTTCTTAACTCTGGATATAGCATATATTTCAACATAGTTAGTGGTGGAAGAGACAAGTGGCTTTTATAACTGCAACAAACGCATAAGTTATACAAGATACCTTATTGCTTCTAACTCAGGCACTGCTTTTGGTATCTGTATGAATTTTCTTTTTGCAATAAAATTTAAATTAAAATTCGTACTGACACCTAAGCTTTTAGAAAGTTTAATTTATGATTTGTGGCTGCTTTCTATAAGCTTCTTTCGTTTTCAGTGCATGTGGAACTGCAGAGTATTTTCTCTGCCTTTAGAGAAAGATTCAGTAATACTGATTTAGTTTTAGTAATTACCAATTTCCTTTACCTACAGAATTTGAGGTTCATGTGCAATGGCATTGTTCATTCATAATTTTTTTGGAAGTTACTGTATTTAACTTCCAAAGAAAGAACAGTTCAAAATGCATCCAGCAGCTAGGGAAATTGTTACTATTTATGACAAATTCACTTTCCAAAAAATTTACGTTCAGTAAAAGGATTCAGACACTTACTGCATGTTCAAAATCATGTGACATTCCCATGCTCAAACCAAATGTGTTGGCATCCAAGTTGAATTTTTGACAGGCTATTTCCTTATAATTTGCTAAGGCTAAAAATTCAGGATTTGGTGCAAGAGTCAAATCATACTGAGCATACCCTATTGTCATAAAACCAACTAAACTTAGATTATGACAGTTTCCAATTACATGTTGAGTAAGCTCATATAGCTTGTCAGGAGATATTCCACTTTTGCCTATAAAAAAGAAAGTTGATTCATTAGATGAAATGTATTTAAACTGATTACAAGTAATTTTCAATTAACACCAACATTTTACTAATGTGGTAATATGTGTAAAACTTGAGCCTAAAAACACGTATTTGTAAATGCAAAGTAATTTGTCACTGGCAATCCTGATTACAAGCTAGAAATTTTGCTAGTCTTTTAAAATTTTTAAATAGTTTCTAGAATGTTTATTCAAACCTTAGATAATGCTACCAGTAATTTTTAAAAAAGTTTCCCTTAACAATGAAAAATGCTTGAAAAATATGATTTCATGGCAGCTTTTGTACCACTAGTTGCAATAAATAATTTCAGTCCTTTTTGCCTTTTCCCTCAAGACATTCTCTGCAGAAAATAAAAAAGGTTTTTGACTTCATAAATGCAGAAATCTCCCTTCTCCTCATGCTTAATTTCAATCATTTGTTCCTTCTCATTCTAGTACACCTATCCCTCGATTTACACGGTTTAAAAATTAACTGATTTCAAAAACTTGGTAAAAATGTGTATTCGGCTGCATATACGCAAATACATATATCTGAAGTCATTTTTTAATCTCATTCCTTTGGTAACACTGATAGCAACAACAAGGACAGGGATTCCACGTCTTACAAAAGGGGAATCCTGCAGTATGCATATGTATTTCACAAAACGAAAGCTGTTTGGTTCATGTGAACTAGTGCAGCATCAGTATTTTAGCATAAAATCTTACATCATTTTTATTTACATATTTGAATGTTTACTGGTAAGATTCCAACATTTATATTTTTGTGGCATTTTTATGATTTATGTTTTTTTAAGGTTTTATAATGCCAAAAGATTTGGAAAAAAAATCGAATAAAAAGAAAGGTTTTTTTCTTTTTTTTTTTTTTTTTCCTTTAGAAACAAAAATTAAAATGCTAGATCATCTTCGTAATAGAGAAAAAGGAAACAGATGTTGCTAAACATTACTCCATGAATGAAGCCACAATAAGGACAATTAGAAAGAATAAAGACTCTATTAGAAAAAGTGTAGCACCTGGAACTTGCAGCAGTAAGAGCACATTTTAATTTTAAGAGATGATACAATGGAAAAGGCATTAGTGATATGGATAGAAGAGCAAAATCAGAAATGGATTCCAACTGATACTAATGCTATTACAAATAAGTCTTTAAACATTTATAAAGCACTTAGGAATCAGTCACTGTCGACTTCCTCATATGAAAAAAATGTATCTTTTCCCATAAGTTATGGTTGGTTTGAGAGAATTAAACAAAGACACTCTTTACATAATCTAAGATTGAAAGGAGAAAGTTCATCTGCTGATTCCGATGCAGCACAACAATATCCAGCAAAATTTGCTGAAATCATTGCCACCAACTCCTACACTTCTGATCAGATCTTCAGTGCTAATGAGTCTGGGTTGCTCTGGATAAAAATGCATGAAAGAACCTATTTAGCTAAAGTTTGCAAATCAGCTAGTGGTCATAAGGTAGCGAAAAGTCATATAACAATTCTTACCTGTTGCAACGCTTCAGCAATTATATAATGAAACCATTGGTTATTAACAAATCAAAAACAGCATGCTCATTTAAAGGAATAAACATAAATAGCCCTCCTATTTATTGGATGGCTAATAAGAAAGCATGGGTCACTGCCATAGCTTTCAATGAATGGTTTCATAACATGTTTCTCCCAGATGTCAAAAATTATTCAAGTAAAAAGGGATTGCCTTTTAAGGTTCTTCATTTAAAATTGATAATGCATCTGCTCATCCTTAAAATTTACAACACGAAAATGTAGAAGCTGTATTTTTATCAAAGAGTACAACTTCCTTATTACAACCATTAGATCAAGGTATAATTTTGGCTTTTAAGGCATTGTATATCAAAATTTTCAGGTATATTTCAGAACAAATGAAAATGATGAATCTCTTACTCTTATGGATGCTTGGAAGAAATTTGCAATCTTAGATTGTGTTAAGTATGTTGGACTGTCATATACTCAGATAAAAAAACTCTCAACACATGCTGGAAAGCAATATGGCCAAATGCTGTTAAAGATGAGATTGAACAGATTACCTTTACAGCATTCTCAGGTCACTAAATTGGCCCAAATTATAGGAAGAGAAGGTTTTGAGGATTTAGATCCGGCAGATATTGTCAAAATAATAACTGATGAAGAATTAAATAAAGATGAGTTAGTAAACATGATTCATGAAACAAATAATCATGATGAAGACAATGATTCTGATGAAGATCAATCTAAAACAATTGTGTTCACAGCAAAAGTCATCAGCTTAGGGCTTGAATTGGAAAGAAAATCAGGTAATCATTTTTTACAAAATGACACGAATGTTGAACGAGTTCTCTGATTCCAACGGGAGCTTAGTAAGTGCTTAAATCAATATGAGGAGGCTTACAAAGATTTAAGGAAAAAAAAACCTGGGTAATTGTTAATTACGGATTTCACTACAAAGTCTTGTCGATCTGAGATCTTCCCCAAGTTTTCAATCATTGAAGCAGAATCTTATCAAAAATGCTTAAGTGGTGAAAATGACATCATACCAATCAAGAAGAAAAGGCTAAAAGTTCATGAAAGTGTTGACAGTGATTAAACTTATAATAATTTTTTTGAATGATCTTAAATTCTCCTTGTGTAAAATAAATATGTACTTCTATTACCTGCATATATTTCTTATTTTTTGAACGAAGTATAACTTTATTTATTTTTTAAGATGTCTTACTTTTGTTTTATGTAAATAAATAACTAAATTATGCAAATTTAGTATGTTTTTCACTTCACACGGTTTTACATAGATCCAAGATTTTGATTTACACGGTTTTGTGTGGAACCGATCTTCTGCGTAAATCAAGGGATAGGTGTAATTCACTTTGGATGCCATTATCTTTCAATGACAGGATTATATGTTCAGATGACTGATTTTAAATTTACAAATCTGCAATGAATTGCAAAGGCAATTTAAATTTCGTACATTATGGTCATCTGGAACTAAATGACTTAGTGAATTCTAAATTATTGTTAATTGAAAATAAACAAATTTCCAAGCTTAAGCAAAGGATCGGAAAATCAGGATATGACACTGTCACACATGCAGCAAATGCAAAGAACATGAGACTCACTTTCATAAGTATTTTTACTAACATAAAGAAAAACAGACTGGCTAAAAATGAAAAAGAAACTGAGAAAAAAGAGCTAATACTTAACTGCTAACAGTTTCTTTTATGGTAGTTTTTTGGTAAATGTGTTTTATGCGTAGCTCTTTCTCATGCAGTATTATTTGCCCATATGTAGTACAGGTATTTCATTGCCAAAGTCAATTGTTTTTTACTATAGCATATAACCTATTTTAGTTTACTTTTTCTGTTTGTAGATGGTTGATGGTTGTATATGTAGAGCTTTTTTCTCCCTCTTTTTGCTCTTGGAGTTTTATTGAAACATCTGCTTTCTTACAGATACATTGCATTTTGTGTTGCATACATTTTGCTTAGTAACTACAAATTAACTTTACTATGAATTATTAAGCTTTTATAATCTTTACTAAAAGCATATAAAATAGCTTTTAAGATAATCCTTTATAATTCACATATTTTAATTTTCATTTGTTCCTTGTTTCAAAATATACCAAAAAATATCCTCCTGCACTGTTTCTTATTTAAAGTATACCATACTGAGTTAAAATATTAGGTTACAGCTAAACATTTTTAGATGGGTGATCAATACGAAATTGTAAAGGCATGTAAAATAAGTTTATTATTAACTGGACGTGAGAAAAAAGCCAACATTACATCGACATTTTATGTAAAATAAATGTATTACTCATACTTACCTATGTGCCAGCATTCCAGAGATAATTGTAATTTTTAATCTTTCTCTGTCTCTCTCTCTCTCTATACACATATATATTATATATATACTTTATTTTTGACATATGAATGATTTTTTGCATATAATTCATCTAAATAATGCGATTTTCTTTTGAATTCTGCAACAAAAAAGTAGATAATTATTTTACGGTTTTCTGAAATTTACTGAACTGAGAAGTGGTTAAATAATAACTTTTTACTATGCAAGAGTCATATATAGTTTCCTCTCTTAATATATTATTAAATCATTAGTCTCTACTTAAAATTTACACCTAAAAATATGAATTCTTATTTTCAAAAATCACAAAATGCAAAATCCAATGGCAAAACTAATTAACTGTACTCTGTCCCTATCCAGGTGCACTTAACATTTCTGAATTTCTGAATACTTTCAAAATCCTTCTCTCTCTCTCTTTCCCTTTACTACTCACTGATTTGTAAGTATTAAATGGGTTTAAAACATTTTAACATAATTACATAATTTATAATAAATTTTATCTTGAAATGTATACAGGGTGTTCCGTAAATGTTGTTACAAACTTCTGGGGGAGGTAGGGTACATCATAGCGATTAGGAATTGCATAGGAACCTCTGCCCAGAAATGTCATTGTATGCCGCCAGGGAATGTTCTACAGGAGAGCGCTAGTGAAAAGCGAAGATTGCCTCATTCAAGCAGTAGGCACCATACGAAGAGCACGGAACGCTATACGAATGAAGAGCTTGTGGACATGTGATTCCAACATGATGGGGAAGCCTGCTCATTTTTGGACTGGATGTTTGTAGCCATTTGAACAGATCATTCCTGCATCAATGTATTGGGCATGGTGGACCAGTTCCCTGGCCCCCATGCTCACCGGATTTATCGAGCCTTGATTTTTTTTCTGGGGAGCCATCAAAAGTGCTGTGCATCACGATCCTGTTGTGTCTGAAATGGATCTCGTGGCATGACTTGCCTGCACAGCTGCTACAATCAAAGAAACTGCTGGTGTGTTTGAACATGTCTGGCAATCAATGGTCCGTCGGTGTCAGGCATGTTTAGCGTCTGATGGTGCAAACTTCGAGCATCTGTTGTAACATTCAAGTTGTTGTACACCATCTGTATCCATGTCCAATAAATGTTTGAAATTAATCACTCTCTTGTTTTCTATCCCATCTTCTACCTCTGCTAACACTTACCCCTGACAGTTCTGGGCATGGGTTACTATGCAATTCTTAATCCTTATGATGTGTCCTACCTCCCCCAGAAATTTGTCGAAACATTTACAGGATACCCTGTATATAATCATTGCTCATAATCTTTGATCTTTTATAGTCATCTTCATTTTACTTTACAACCGTTCAGTATAGTTTCCTCTATAAATTTTTTGGCTACTTAGCTGGAATCACTTTTATTAAAACTGAATTCTTATAATTTGAAATGATAAGATTTTAGCCTTCCCAATGCTTTAATAAATTTTCAAATACTACTTCATATTGGTCATTTAGTCAATGGCAGATTTATGAAATGGGGTGGTCACTTACCTGAATATTTCGGGGCTCCTTGTCCTCGGACTCAAGGTATGTTTACTATTTTTTAAAAACTAATGAATGATTTAGGAGTCCCTTGGAATAACTTGCATGACCACATAAATTTACGCTACTTTAAAATATTTCTTAATGCTTTCATCACTTCAAAACTCTACTCTTATTTTCCAGTTTTCTCTAATTGAGACGTTGACAATGAAAATGAGGTAAGTGCCAAAATTTGTGAAACAGCATTTTTCTCATTGAAAATAATCTATGCTCCAACAGCAATAGCATCAAAAAAGAGGCAGGTGCCTAACGAGCTTTGCTTACTTTCAGCCATTGCCGGAAAATGGGTCTGGGGTAACTCCCAAACACTTGGCATTGAAAAAGAGGTAACGGAAAAAAACCCGTGCGAGAGAACTTTAACCTTCCCCAACCTTCCTCCAATCTGCATTAACTGAAAAATGCCAAAATGGAAAACTGACTTTGTTCTACCCCAAAAGGTAAGTGTTGGTTTATCTATTGTTGTAGAAATAATATTGAAGCTGACTAACCTTGACTTTGTATCGAATTAAACTACCTTTTTACTTATTTCATCTTGTTTCAGGCAACCTGCAAGTGTAAATATTTGTGCAAGAGATTGTTGTCCAGTGACATCCTCAAGCTGCACACTAAGTTCCACTTGCTTACACACGAAGCTTAAAATATGTATTTGATGAGCCAAGTGCATTTGACAGCAATCGGAAGAAGATGACATGGAACTCACGTTGAAGCAAGTAACAGCAGATGTCAAAAATTGGTGACATATACTTTCCCATCAGCCAATGGCTCTATTCAGGTTTGCAATAATACTTTTAGCTCAATCTTTGATATTTCCAAGAGAAATGAAGTCATTTTGAATTGCCTAAAAAAAAGAAGATATTGTATTCAGGGATGGTCATGGGGAAAATGTAAAATCTCGTCATTTGAAATATATAGCTGATGACAGGGGCTTGATAAAGGAACACATCCTTTCATTTCCTCGTGAGGAAAGCCATTACAACCACAACAAATCTTCAAATGAATATTTAAGCCCAGATTTGAATGTACACTGAATGCACGTAGCATTTAAAAAAAATACCCTGCAGGTCAAATAGATGAAAGATATTACAGAAGGGTTTTCAATACGGATTTCCAGAAGCTTAGTTTCAAGAAGCCACGAACCTATACTTGCCTTCCATGTGACAAATTCAATGCACAAATAAAAGCAGCTCATGGAGTTGCAAATCTGTCGCTAATAGGGAAAAGGGAACTGCATCAACGAAAAGCTGACATAGCACAGCATTTGCTCTCTGGTTTGTTTCTTAACAGTCAGTATCCTTTTAATGCAGTTGCTACTGGCATGCAACAAGTGCTGTTTATGCCTACCCTCACCCACAGTAACATGTTTTATTCAAAGTAGTTATCAAAAGGCAGTTATCAAATTACAACCTTTGCATACATGTAGAAAGCAGTTCAACAAGTTACATAAGTATGTGGCATGATGCGATTGCTGGACGTGGAGGAAATGAAGTAAGTTCATGTCTTTTCAAAGTTCTGACATCAGGATTCACTCCTAGAAAACATTTGGAAATATGGTAAGACAACTGCGCCTGACAGAATAAGAACTGCATTGTGCTAATAGTGATTGTATTTCTTGTCCTGAAAGTCTATTACGAAATAATCAACCTTAAATTTCTTGTTTCTGGCCATTCCTACATGCTATGTGATAGAGACTTCGGTGTTACAGAAAAACGGAAGGGAGTGAGCAAGTGCATGGTTCCAGAAGAAGTTCAAGAAATGGTGAAATCTGCAAGACTTAAAACTTCGTTCTAAGTGATTCCAATGGAAAAAGGTGATTTTTTTTTCGATGTTGGACGTGTTTACGATTTGTTTCTGAACACTACTGCTCTAAAAATTTCTGAAATTTCTTAGATTAGCATATCGAATTCAACACTTCCTCTCATCAGCACCAAAGAGAATTTTAAACTAATTAGAAAAGTGGAAACAGAAGACAATCTTCAGGAAGCAAAAATTTAATGGATTCAAACAAATGACTATGTTTCCTTCTAACAAAAAAATATCAACGATGAATGAAGTAAAGAAGAAAGACTTGCTAGCAATGCTTGACTATCTCAATGAAAAATACCATAACTTCTATTAGGAGGTTTGCAAATATATTTTTTTTTCATACTTACCTGTTATGTCTTTTGCTTCAATAAACCATTTGTAGCCAAGAACGTGAGTATTCATTTCGATATTGGACCATCAAAACTTCTTTTGCTTCTCCTGTAAAATTTAATTTTTGGCACTTACCTCATTTTCATTGTCAACACGTAAGTTGTTAGACATTTACTCAGAATCTTCAAAAACAGTCCTATTTCTGTATGGTTTAATACAGAAAGTACACTTGAACCTTTGTGTTGAAAGTATAGCTGACCTTTGTTTACTTTAGAATAAAAATATGACATATTCTGAATAAAGGTTTACAAAACGTAGCACTATGAAAGATTTTATTAATTTAAGAATATTTTAATTACTTTCTTCACCACTGGTGTTGACTTGAATCATTATTTTCAGAGAATCAACGTTCTGTTTTTTTGCCCAAGCCTTGTCTACAGCATCAGCCAATTTTTTAGAATCAATAGTCTGCAGCATGTATAGATTTGGAACACCTGAAAACATAAATATACATATGTAACTTTATCTTGACTAAGGAAAATATTTTAAGGCACACCAATTTTCAAAGCCTACATCGTCATACACACAGTTTGAGGTATGTATGTCAAGATAACAAGTAAAAAGAAATTAAATGCTCTTGATTAAACTTGTTTTTCACCCTTTCAGTGGGAGAGCACCTTTTACCTCCATTACCTGCTTTTTGATTACTGTGCTTTTTTCTCTCACAACAGCCTTAGTGGCTCCAATGGCAAGACAGAAAAATCTATTGAAAGGAAACAAAAACTTCCTAACGCAATCATCATTTTAGTCCTAGTACTTCCTGCCGTAATACAAAAAAAATCTCATGATTAAAAATGCAAACATTATTTCCCCTCAAAAAAGAAAAAAAAAAAAAAAAAAAGAGAAAGAAAGAAAAAGAAACAGTGTTCCAATATTTAGTCTGCAAAGCTCAAATGAATAATGGCTTGTTACTTCCTCTTTCCTCTGTAGTCTGTATGCTCCTACAATATATAACACTGGTTCAGAAGTGCATCTCATTTTCACCTTAAAGCTCAGTAGTGGCTAGTTGCTCCAGTTGACTGCCTTAAAGAAACATGTCTCGGCTTAATTTGGAAGATTTTGTTGAGAAAAGCTCCTACATTAAGCCAATTATAGTATTGCTACAAACAGCATTAGTGGAATTTATTGTTATGTATTGCTTCATGCTTCATGTTATGTACTGTGTATACAAATTTTTTTCAGAACTAGCACTACAGCCCATTACTGTATGTAAATGTATTTTTCAAGACTTCTTTCATCACATAAAAACAAGCCAAAGGCTAAAAGACAAAATTATATTGCTTAACTTCAAGAACCAATTCATCAAAACTCAAGGTCTACTAGTTTAGTGAGCCATTTTGCAATCAATAAAAAAAAAAAAAAAAGAAAGAAAGAAAGAAAATAAACAATCACATCCAATACATCAAAAGCATGCAAAGAATCTCACCCGTATATGTAATCTCACATGTCATGTGTTTACATTAAAAACTTATTTCCTAGAATCGTAAGCAAATTCTCTGAATATATTCTAAATACAGTCAAAAGTCGTTAATCTGGAAACCCATAATCCAGAATGAGCTATAATCCGGACCTCAAAGCTGCAAACTTTCTGCGCATGCATCAACGCATAATGCGTTCACGCATGCGTGTAATAATTTTGCACATATGTGTGTGTGCATAATACGTTTACGCATGTGCATTTAATGTATAACGGAAGGTATAAGCTAAGCTAAAATTGTCTAATTATCTATTTCAGTTAATTTTGCAGATTGCGTTGTTCCTTAATCTTCGAATTGGATCCGGCTTATTATTTTTTGCAGACTGTTAGAGCAATTTTATAAAAGTAAGCTTGAACTTTCGATTATGTCAAATAGAATCTCCGATGCTGGAGCTGCCAAAGCGAAAGTATGTTTCGATGTCCATCAAAAAAAAGTGGAATTGCTGCAAAAAATGGATAAAGGCACATCCTTTGTTTCTCTAACCATTCCGAAATCTGTTTATCAATTTCACGCTGCTCTGCCGGGGGGGGGGGGTTACGTCGCGGAACTGGAAGTTGATCTGTCAGCACTATCCTTTATCTTCAGGGCAGATGTTTTTATTTTATTCAGCTTATAATTCCTTACTAAATGTAGTATTTCATCTCGATGTATTCCGTCTTTGATATGATTTAAATCAAATTCCTCGTCATTATAAATATCACGAGTACACATCAAATAGTTTTCTGGTTGCAATTTTCTAATTTCAACTATGTGTAATGTATGCTTTACCCATGCGCACATTGAGAGAAATGTTTAATAAAGTAAACAAATAAATATTAAGCTTTTTTTTTTTTTTTTTTTTTTTTTTTTTTTTTGTAAATTTTGATACCCTTTAGATCATAATTGCTCTTTATTTCATAAATTACAGTTTCATATTTTTAATTTTATAATTTCTGCACGGCATCTTACTCATCAAATCTTACCAGAGTTAAACTGATGATCTATAATCCGGAAAAATCGATAATCCGGAATTGCCGAAGTCCTGACGAGTCCGGATTAAAGACTTTTGACTGTATTACATTCTTACAAAAGACCTTTGACTGCTTTAAAGTTTTAGCGGCTGATGAATTCTATTACAGCATTGACAAAATAAGAAAAAGTAATAATAATGTCAAATGAAGTTCATCTCAGCTCATACAAAAGTTAACTCCTTTTTAAGTACATATAGTATTTGACTCACAGTTCTAAACAATTAACATAAAAACTTTTCAAATTACAACTGAAACAATATACAAAAGAATAATTTCTATATTATTACATATATTTTTAATAAGAAAACGAATACCTAGCAGCTTGTTAACTTTATTACTCTGCAAATGCCCAATGAAATGCCATTTTATATCAGGACACAGCTCCAGAATCTATTTTAAAAATGCAAAATATTAATTAAAAAAATAATCACAGTGAAAGATGAATAACAAGTGCATTATATTATTACATAAAACAGTAGCTGTATTATCTGTGTTATCCAATCCCCACCAGGAGCCTACCTCAAAATGGGGCAGGAGTAATAACTTGTGGTCCTTCAAGGCTGAGTGGCTAATGGGCCTGAGACTCTACTATGAGTGCTTACCCATGGCCAACAGTAGGAAAGGCCATGTAAGCTTGGGTGTGACATTACAACCTCTGTTTGAACTCGACCATACCAACCCAATGATCAAATTTCCTCACTGCATAACATAATAATATATGCTTTCTTACATCAGATTTTACCTGCTTTTATCGATCCTAATATGTAGCCACTTTATTTCTGTATCATTATTTATGATTAATTTAGAAAAATTTTTAAAATGCCAATTTGTATAGTAAAAAAATTATTCTTAAATAGTGTAAATACATGATTAACGAATTTCGCAGATGTTTCTCTTACATAGTGTTATTAAGTATCATGCATTCCTTCATTTGTGCTTTTTTTTGGATGAGTTATGTAAATGTAACATATAAAGAAATATTCCTTTCATAAAGGAAGAAAACTACATGAATTAACAAAGCAAAAAAAATCAAAAAATATTTTTTTTATTTTCGCCAAAAAATAAATTATCTTACTCAGTTTTGAAGTTACAGCATATTATTACTGTATTAGTAATATATCTTCCTGATGATAAATAAGCAAACAATTTTCTAGTTTTTTTTTTGAATAAACTCATTTAAACTAAACAACTGAATGTTAAGACAGTTTGAAAAGGTTCTCCCACTGTTGACATGTAATCATAACTTTATTTGTAATGCTGCCAACAGCATAAAACATCTAAATTACATATTATAACTAGTTACATAATTACAGTCTCATGAACCAAACCTTTTGATACTAAACACAGAGTTACAAAGGGTTTTCGTAATTTAAATGAGTAACACCTACAGTTTTAATAGTTTTATAGCAAAAGCTTCAAACATCTTTTACCATAAGTAAAAAATACTTTTTATATTAGCTCTACATACATTCATAATACATCTAGGTTAAAAACATACCTTCATGAACATAAATAAGCAGATATTTCAAACATTTATCAAAAACATATACTAAGTTTATATCCTGCATTAGGGGTTACTGTAGAAAAGTTACTGATTGCTTTCCTGTAATTTCCTATTTACTAGAACCTGGATTTAATGCAGTTATAAGCCTCATCACGAAAAACAGAAACTGACTGTAAGTGCTTATACAGACTTCAGAATGTTACTCATAAAGGCTAACACACATAATTTCTCATCATCACATCATGTTCACCCATCTCATTAGGGGGAGATAATGTGTTTTTGTATCATAACACAAAAGATAATTTCAATTATTACTTTAAAAATTAAAATGTTTTATTTATATTTTTGTGTCACCATTTACCACTTAAGACATCGAAGTTAAATTTGTAATTTTCCTGTTACGCACTTACACAGAGTTACCGTAATTTCTGGAAGAAACGCCGCGGCATTTACATGTTTAAAACTTAAATTTTCAGCGGGTGCGGCGTTTAGGTGCACTAAAAATAAAATATTTCCTATGAGGGTCATTGTGCATAGTTTGAATAACTTTGTACATAGTTTGGATGGTCTTGTCATTGTATGTAGACCACTCAGTTGTTTCTACACAAAAGACCACTCGGTTGCTTTTTGCAAACGTTATTTTGTTTACATTATTTTCCTTGAACGGACCTACCTGCCTTATTCACCCTAAACGAGATCTCAGAACAATAACATTCTTTCCCCTTTTCAAATCAGCATTCTCATCATTTTGAATAGTCTCTCTCCTTTGCCATTCGATGAATCTTCCAGGAACCATCCTCTCCCCACCCGCCTTTTCTGCAATTTTTTTCAAAGGCGGATACGACTGATTCCACCTGCCTCGCAATAACGAACTTTGACTATTTCCCCTTCAGCATGAATCGATTTTTCTTGGCATTCTACCAGATACAGATCCCATCAGTTTGGGTACAAGTACTTCTTGGATAGTTTTTAAGTAAGAAGGGAGCGGAAAAGTTTTGAAAATGGCACCTAAATGACACAGAAACTATACTGCTGGTTTTAAGCTTAATGTAATTTCACGTGCTGAACAAATTGGAAATAGAGCAGCAGCTTGAGTTTGAAGTGGGCGAGAGATGTATTCGATGTTGGAGAACTGAAAAAGAAAAACTTAAAAATATGCCACAACAGAAACGAGCCAAAAGAAGTGGTACTGTAAGGTGGCCAAATCTAGAGGACGGCCTTGCAAACTGGATAAAGGAACAACGAGGAAAGGGAATGGCAATTTCGACTGTAAAAATTCACTTACAAGCAAAAATTTACAGCAAAACAAATGAACATAAATGATTTCAAAGGAGGGCTTTGCTGGTGTAGCAGATTTATGCAAAGAAAAAATATTTCTGTGCGTACTAGAACAATAGTCAGGCAACAATTACCAATGGACTGGCAGGATAAAAAGGCATCTTTCCTAAAATATACGACACATATTGTTGACAAAAAAAAAAAACTCCTTCGGTCACAGATAATAAATATGGATGAAATGTCGTTAGCTTTCGACTGACCTGCAAACAGAACTGTTGATAAAACTGGTGCAAAATACTGTATCTGTGCTTACGACGGGGCATGAAAGAATGTCATTTACATGTGTGTTAGCTTGTGCCGAAAATTGTGACAAGCTAAAGCCGATGATCATTTTTAAATGAAAAAACTATTCCGAAAGGAAGATTTTCCTAATGATGTAATTATTTGTGCAAACAAGAACGGCTGGATGTACAAAACAATCATGCATGAGTGGCTACAAAAAGTTTGGCAGTGTCGTAAGGGATCTTTTTTCCAACCAAAAGGGTTATTGATAATAGATTCCATGCGTGCTCATTTACTTGAGTCAGTGAAAACCAGATGTCAAAAATTGTCTACGACCGTAGCAATAATTCCAGCTGGTTTGACAAAAATCTTACAACCATTAGATTTGTCAGGTAATAAATCCTTCAAAACTGAAGTCCGAAAGCGGTAGGAGAGTTGGATGAGTGAAGGATTAAAAATCTTACAACCATTAGATTTGTCAGGTAATAAATCCTTCAAAACTGAAGTCCGAAAGCGGTAGGAGAGTTGGATGAGTGAAGGATTGCATACGTATACCAAAAGTGGTAAAATGCGTAGAGCATCTTATGAAGAAGTTGCAAAGTGGGTAGGAAGTGCATGGAAATCGGTAAAAACATCGTAAATAATAGCAGGGTTCAAAGAAGCTGAAATTATATCCTTAGATAAAGAGACGGTATACCAAGAGGATGAATGTGATGATCTGGAAGACCTGGACTTAGATCAGGATTTACTAAATCTTTTTAATTCAGACAGTGAAGAATCAGATTTTGATGGCTTCATATGATGTATAGTTTGCTGTAATTCCTTTTTTAAGTAAAATTTTGTCATCCAAATTTAATATTTCATTGTTGCAACATTTTTTATAATATAGTCTAAGTATTACAAATATGGACTTCTTTAGTGGGTAAATATAAGTATATTCGTGAACATAAATATATTTATTTTCAACATTTCTTACCTTTAATTTATTTTTGAGTTATGGTTTCATTTCATGCATTTTCTTAACTGATATATCATATATCAGGGCATAGGTTAAGATTTTGCATCTATACAGCTCACGGCGATGTCACGCGCAATTTAATCTATTACGGCGTTTCTGTGCAATTTTAATTTTTTCCCTTCCATTTTTCTCGAGTGCGGCATATACACTGATGCGGCCTTTCTTCCGGAAATTACTGTATTGAACTTGGTGGTTTACGGTCAAGTTTCTGTTATAAGAAGGTGTCCACAGGCACTGTAAGTTTGGGAACCACCGATTTAAACAAACAACCACAACATTATTTTATATTCTATTAAAGGCCTTGCTATAATATCCAGATTTCACTAAAATCATAAAATACTCTTATAATAATTCTATTTACATCCAAAGTCTGTAACTATATTAGAAATATACCATCATGATGATAAATAAGGAGGATATTAGTTTTCTGATTTCATTTTCAGAAACATAATGTGCATGAATATTCATAAAAACCAAATTTTAAAAATAAACACACTATTTGAAAAAGTGAAAATCATTAAGTAATTTCAAAAACATTTTCTTCAACACACCAAAAACCATGAAACACTGAAATCATTGCAGAATTATGATCAAATTTACATAAATCATGCATCTGCACATGAAATCTGAAACAACCTTCAGCATTATTTTAAATGATATAAAGACCTTACATTTAGATTTTACCAGAATCATAAAGCATTTTTGTAAAAATTCTATTTATATTACAACTCTATTATCACCTATATTAGAAATATACCCACATGGATATAAATAACCAAGCATTCCGTGTTTTAGACTTTCCTCTCAGAAACATCACACAAATAAATAAATTCTTATTAAGAAACATTTTAATTTACAAATATGCCATTATGAGGAATTAATGCCTTAAAGTTATAACAAAAGCAATCTTTTCAATAGTGAAAAGAATTTGAACAATCCAGACTATATGATAATCATATGTATGGTTAAGATGACATTAACCAAATATTTTTAAGATACTTACTTTAAAAAAGGGTCTTTATGACTTAAATGAGTAACCACAGTAACTATTTTCACAGCTGCAAAGGCCTCAAATGCAAAGAATTTATTTTAAAATATTTCTATTTGAACTATTGTGTTTCATAAGATAAATAACACAAAGATAAATTTAAACATGCATGTGTAACACAACGAAAATATTTCAATTATTTTCACAAGCATTGTTTCAGCTAATGTTCCACAGCAACTTTTAAATAATAATCTGTTTTCCAAAATACAAAAATCTATGCAAGTGGTGCAGTTAATTTAAACACCCCTTACTGAATATTCAGCAATATCTGGTACTGGAAGGTTAGAACACACTCCTATGGCAACAAGGCGGAGTTTTCAAGCATTGATTTAATGTTCCCAAAGAACCCAATGCGAAAAACCACTCGCAAGCTCTTTGCCTAATTCCAGTAGACAGGCAGCATGGCTGATGATACGACAGGAAACGTTAGTTGCAGGCAAACTGTAGTTACTCCTGGAAATGTTGCCACTGTTTCTGGAATTATTTAGCAAAATCTGTGCAAATCCATCCAACGAATTGCAGCAGTCTGATTTGAAGCATTCCAGCATGAAAAAATTACTGAGAAACAGCCTAGATTTGTTTCCATTCAAATTCCACAGTCACCAGGTCATACCCATACGAGGTATGCAACAAAAGGCTGACTTTGTCAACCAGATTCTCACAATGATTGATAATAAAGGATCTGATATTGACTCTATGTGATTCACACACATGAAACGTGCTTCCTCCTGAATGTGAAGTGAAACCACTGAATTCTTCCCAAGTTCTTGTTTGAGCTGCAGTAAGAAGCAGAGGTATTATCGGCCCTTTTTTCATGGGAGAAACAATCATTAGTGAACATTAGATTGCAATTTTGGAACAATCTGTCACAACACAGCAAGCATTGGATAAATGACCAGGCACCAACCAGCTTATGCAAAATGGAGCACAACCACATAGTACTGAGAACATACGTTTCTTTCTTGACGAATACTTCGAGCATAGTCATTGTATTGGTTTATTCCAAATTTACTGAGCCAGGCATGGATTGGCTTCCATATTAGCCCAATCTGAATCCATGTGATTACTTTTTATGCAGCAGATTGGAAGACACTGTTTACTGGAACCATCCCACTGCAATGGACAAGCTCGAGTCTTCAATCTGTGTAGCAGCTGAATCCATTTCCCTTTATGCACTATAAGATGCGATAGCAAATTTCATTGTTTGTTTGCACCACTTCTATACTGCGAGTGGTGGACATTTAAAAAACATTGCGATTGCAAAGACTAGTTTATTTATGCATTTTGATACAAGCTGCATACATGCTGCACAGCTTCTGCATTATTTATGCATTTGATACAAGATAATGATATTTATGCATTTTGATAGTAGCCCATCTGTTGGCAGCTTTTGTAACTATTATTTCAAAGTTTCTGAATAACGATCTTGCAGCTTTCAAAATGAATATACTGCTTGTTACATCCTCTATCTGTCTTTGTTTTCGAGATTTTTAATTTTGAAACTGTAGATTTCTTTCCTGGACACCTGTACTTACACTATTTATGTATATCGGATATAGGAGAAAGAAGAATCTTTGTAAATTTTCACAGGGAAAATGTAATTATTCTTCTTCTAGGATGATTTGATTAATATTCTTCATAAAGACAGGATATTTAGAGAAATTAAAACAAATAATCAATATTTGATGAACATATGCAAAAATTTAAATTGTGTTAAAAGTTTGATAGATTAGGAGGTTAGCTTAACACATTGACTGCCAGTCACTAGAGTTAGATTGATAGTTATTGCCACCCATATGGAAGTAAATCGTATCCAGATGCCAACATACTTATTATAAGAAATATGATTTAAAAATATTAATAAAAGCTAATTATGTGATACCGACGTATTATTTAAGGCTTTTCTTAAAGAATTTTTTAACTACATGCCAGTGCGTGATTGGCACTACATGTCAAAATTTTCCCCAAATACCACATTGCGTGCTGGCGCGTGGAATGTAAAAAATAAATTTAAATAAGAAACATAAGTGACAGTACGCATTATTTTCATATCAATATGCATTACAGACAATTATACATATTACAAAGGAATTTATAACAAGAAAATTACAAAGGCATTATACAGGTACATCTAGAATGTTATTTGTGTATTATCTTTGAACAATCTAAGCAGTACACGGGAGATCCTTCACAAAATTTGCAAACATATATTGTATCTTTACGTTTCCCTTGGAAATAGCAACTTTTGCATTGCTTTCTTAGAATTTTTCTTTCTTTTTTTTTCCTTCCCGTGTACTCAGCACATGTTCAGATTCAGACTGATCATACAGAGGAGCATGAAGAACAGATGGCTGTTTCAGTAAACTTCGTATCACGGATAAACGGTAGTCATACAGTAATGTATTTTCATTGGAATACTTATTATAGATAAAGTGAGAATTGTTCATCATTATTTGCAAAATATGCACAAATATTTTCATGGGCCACCTAATTGTTTTTCTCTCACAAGGATAATAAGCAAGCATCTGATTTTGCTTATCAATACTGGCCCATAAATTTATTATATTGAATTACAGGTAGAGTTTTCGATTTAATTTCACCTCATTTGTTTGTTATTTCCGCCATATCATTTTAATATTCATTGGAAATGTAAGTGACGTCTCTCTTATCCTGCCACTTTGCAATCATCACACCATTAGCCTACTTTGCTACAGTTTGCTATTTCATCATTTTTTTTTTCGTTTACCTCTTTCGGAAATTTCTTTCAGTTCTTTCTGATTGTCCCAGTGCAGCTGTTAGAATAATTATCCATAAATATGCTATGTCCTACATTCATCATTTCCTCGAGAAAATTCATAACGACTTTTTTTTGCATGTTCTTTTCCGCCAGAATCATCCAACATGCCTGTATATATCATAAATTTCAGAACCATACCATCAGGGGTTGTGATCATGTACAACGTGATACCATATTTGTGACTTTTATTTGGTATATACTGTCTGAATATAAGCCGTCCAGGCCACAATACCACCTATTCATCGTTTTCCGTCATAGTTGAATCATCCTGCTGACATGCAGCCTCTTGCACGATTCGTTCTTCATCATCATCAGAATCCGAAATATCATGGGTACCAGTCGGAGTAACGAATTCTTCGTCACTGTCATAACTAAAATCGCTCGGGTACTCATCCGATAGCTCAGCCAACAAATTTGCTATTTCATCATCCGTAAGAGCCTTTTTATATTGAACTTTTCATTTTTCGGGCACAAAGACCCTGCACTATCATCTCTATAACTCATACTAAAAGATTATTTTTTTTAATAAAAAATAAAACAATAATTTCAAAACCGCGATTATTTATACGTAGTTTCTAATTTTCACTCCATGCCAATGCCGTAAGAAATGCCCTGCATGCAATGCCAAATGAACTTGGAGAATGAATAACAAGTATAGAATTTTCCCGCGCCAGCGCGACTGGCTGCTGAGACATCACCCCACATCACGCACTGGCGCGTGATTGGCTCTTTGCTGATAACAAAACATCGCGCTGGCACGTGAATGGCAGTCAATGTGTTAACAGTAATAATTTCTTCAATTTTTAAATGATCACATAATAAATCTTTCATATATATGATTCAAGTGACTCAATGCTATAAAGCAAGAATTAAATTACTTTATATATTTTATTGATAAGGCATTAAGATAAACAATAAACTGATAAGGCATTAAATCAACAACTTTAAAGGAAAAATTTACTTTTTCGACAAAAACAATACAACAGAAAAATTAAATTCCTCTAAAAGTCATACTAAATAAATTAATTTTTTCCCCAGTGGCAGGCATTTGCCTACAATGGTAAATTAAATTAATTAAAATGCTTTTTAAGTCTACCAGATGTTATTTGCATGTAAAACCACTATTTCTAAAGACAAAGCATATACATAAATATTGATCCCATTGAAAGTGAATTACAGTAATATGTTTAACAATGATGTATAATTAGAAAGAAAACTGTAGATAACAAATACAATGATATATTAAAAAAATGACTATTAAAATTAACAATGATTTTATTTAAATTGCAAACTATAATACTTATCTAAATGACAAAAGATATATAAATCACAATTTCTTCCACAGAATCAGATAAATAAAACATTCAAGGCTGGACTTCAGGACATCCAAAAAAATGTGCATGCTGTCTTGGGGGAATTTAGTTTAAGTACATTAAATAGATATCAGTATACCAAGTTTCGATATGAAAACACATACTCACTTCCGAATCGGAGGCCTTTTCTGCAAGTTCATTCACCTATTACAGAAAATGTTAAATAATTACAAATCTCATGACATAAACAAAATTTCCAGTATACATTCAACATTTCCTGAAAACCAACATCAGATTTCACATTCAGCATTTAACCCAAAAATCATACAGCTCTCTCAGACTAATGCAATTACATGTAAATTTTTCCATATAACACTTTTATGTCTTTTTTAAATTTTTCATTTTACACATTTAGAATTAAAACACATGACAAATTTAGATTATAAATTTCAGGAAGAAAAAAGGCAACACCATACATATTCTATTTCAGTATGTAGTACATTATTCTAACATACTGTTCCCTTCTAGAGATAAAGCTTATTTTAAAAAAACTCTAGCTTTAACTCGTAACTTCACAACTCCATTTGGAAATTAGAGTAACTTCAGATGAATGGTTTTAGAACTAGTGATAATCATTCATAAAAATAAAATACTATATTTTAAAATGGTTTCAGAATCTTGAAACTTATATGCCCCAATTTCATCTGGCACTGCCAAAACATCTTCAGCAAATTAAAAATTTGTCAAGAATAAAGTGATAATTTCAGTACTCCATTTTTAAACTAAATTATGCACAATAACAAATCAGAGCAAAGACACCCTTAAAAATATGCTTATTAAAAAATATGTCAATGAATTTATTTAAAACCATAAGAATATTGTAATTTTCAACCATGGTTCAAAATTAAAAGCTCGATACATGCTTCCCTTAAACATACTAAATAAAATGTTAAACTAAATAAAATTCACAATGCAAAAATACAGTATTAAATTATGATGTACATAAAAGTATATGAGCAAGCTACATAATGCACATGTTATGTAATAAATACAATTATCTGTCACATGAATACCTAGGTAAAATATATTAAGAGACAATAAATTAAGTTAAAAGCATAATGCATATATTAAAGTATTAAATTATGAGTAGCAGACTGTGGTCAAAGCAGAATATGTTCTATGTACACCTCAAAGGAAAATGTATAAAAGCATTCCAATGTAAATGAAAATACACCTGAAATTTTACACCTGAAAATTACACCTAAATTCAATACACTTGAAAAAAAAATTATCCGAAATTTGTGGAAATATTTCATATTGAAATGAAAAAAAGAAAAATGTTTTTAAAATCCACAATTTTAAGGAAAATTTCATAAAAAAAATCACTGTCAAGAAACAAAGAAAAAGTGACGGAAGAATAAATGGGCCATGTGATTCCATAAAAAATTTTACTCTACCTCTGGTTAGAAAAGACAGATGGCAATTTTAAAATTCCACTTTCTATGTCTTTCGATATAGCATGCTGAACAGCAATGAAGTTCAGTGAAAAAAACAACTTGCAGGGTGCAAAAGTTAGCATTTTCAAAGTTTCTAATTAATATCTTGGTTGATTAAAGTCACATGAAAATAGGAATGGTTGAAATTGCTTCCTATGAATTTTTTGAATCAGGTGGTACTTCTCTTGCAATTCAACTCCCAGCTGTTCTGGAGGAGATGATGTTACCCACAGACACACAAACGGGCACAGATTTTAGTAGCATTATTAATGCATGTCAAAGTCTATATGCATGCCATATAGCACACATGCTACAGAGTACATACAATTATTTCTCACATAAATACCTATGTAAAATACAGTAAAAAGACATTAAACTAAGCAAAATACACAATGCATATGTATAATATTAAATTAGATGCATGTAAAGATCTACATGAATTCTATGCAACACATATTCTACACAACTCGTACAGTTTATAAAGTGCATAAATATCAGTATTGTTCTGCTGTCAGGACCATATTCAGAAATGTATGTGTGTATGTTCATGTGCATGTTTGTATGTGTGTATACACATAGATACATATGTACACACATGCATACATGAACACATCCATACAGGCACACATACATTTCTGGACCCGGGTCCCAATAACAGAACAGTATCTGAATATTTATATAAGATACATTAAGTCGGACATTGAGTTAAATCAAGTACACAATGCAGAGATTCAGCATTCAGTTATAAACTGCATAACTGCTTATGTGAATTACAACAAATAGAATATTAAACTAAATAAAATACACAATGTTAAAGTATGATGCGCATAAAATCCATATGCGTAGCATACAATGAATGCACTACATAATAAAAACAATTATTAAGCACATACATACTTGCTTAACCATAATCTAAGTGACTCACTGAACCACACAGAAAACAGAATACATAAATACTGTATTTAATTATAAATGGATATAAGAATTGCATAGCACATACCATGAAATTATAAAACACATAAATACCTACATAAAATACACTAAGAATGACATTAAACAAAGTAAATTACATAATGCATAAATACAATATTAAAATAAAGATTCATAAAAATCCTTATATATACCACACAATGCATGCACTACATATTACATGTAAATATAAAGTACAAAAATATCTATGTAAAGTATGCTAAATAGAATATGCATCACTCAAATACAATATTAAAATATATTGCATGTAAGAATTATGTACTACACAATGTGCATGCTATGTCTAAAAAATACATGACTCCTGCACAAAACATTGACAAAAGAAGGTTGAAAAGAATTTGATTAAGCAATTTATATAATTTCCAGCTGATGGAGCAGATAGGCAGCCTGCAAAAACTCTGACCTTAACACCATTTTATTAATACAGTCTTCAGCATCTAAATCAAAACTATTATAATTCATGAGAAATAATGTCAAACATGTTCAGATTTGAGATTTTTACATGAATCGTATCAAAATGATAATTTTCATCACAAAGGAAAGACCCAATGTCCTTCCACCACTGTATTTACAATTAGACCTATTTATATGTTATAAGATTCAAAAGTTCCCGGACTGAGTCTATAACGTAAAAATTATTTGAAGCAGTGCGACTACGAAAATATTTTTGTGTTACTACATTCTCCCCCTTTTCTAAAAGTGGTTTGTCCCAAATCACGTGGTCAAAAGCTTGCAGCAACAGCGTTTTTTGTAGGCAGGTGATTAAGTAACTGGTGTTAGAAAAAAATGGCGTCAGTTGAGCAGAGCATCAATATCAAATTTTGTGTTCGCTTTCAAAATGTTGAAGCATGTATACGGAAGTGAAACGTTATCGAGAACGCAAGCATTGTTTCAGAGAAGGCAGGGAAAGTGCTGAAGATGACGAACGCTGTGGCCATCCCGTGACTTTTTGCACCGATGAAAACATCAAAAAGGTGTCTGCAGTGGTACGTGCGAACAGGCAACAAACAATTTGCCAAATAGTAGAATCAGTTGGAATATCAGTGGCCACATGTCAGCAGATACTGGCTAAGGATCTTAACATGCATAGAGTGTATTAACACACTGTTCCCCGCATGTTAAAAGTAGACTAAAAGGGAATTTGAATGGTCCCTCGTTGAATTTTTGTCGGTCGAATTTTCATTGGTTTTCGTTGGCTGGAGACTTAATCTCAGCTGTTGACAAAGATCCTTCCCTACTTGGCAGAATTGTTACTGGAGAAAAGAAATGCTGTTTTTTGTATGACTCCAAGAGAGCATCCACAACATGGAAATCACCACAATCTCCACAGCAACAGAAATTCCGCCAAGATTGGTCTAAAGGAAAGGTCATGCTAGAGGTGCTCTTCGATATCCAGGGCATTGTGCATCTGGGATTTATCCCTGAAGGACGCAGGGTGAACAAAGAACTTTGCGTTGAAATCCTGCATTGTTTGCTTGAGTCGATCCAGAAGAAGAGACCAAAAGTGTGGACTGAGCAGTCATGGGTGCTGTTGCATGACAACACTCCTGCTCACCGATCCCTACTCGTCAATGACTTTCTTGCGAAAACGAAAACAACTGCTTTGCCTAATCCTTCTTACTCACCTGATCTCACAGCCTGCAATTTCTTTCTATTTACTGACCTGACAAGAAGCTTGCAGGGCTGTTGATTTCAAGCTCGAAATGAAGTTAAATGTGCATTACAGGCTGAATTAAAAGGACATGACCAAAAATGGATTCCAGACATATTTCAATGATTTTTACAGGCGCTGGCAGAAGTGTGTTCTTGCACAAGAGTCTTATTTTGAAGGAGGATGTATTTCTGCAATTTAATTCTTAATATATTTTATGTCATAGACTCAGTCCGAAAATTTTTTAATCCTACTGCGTAGAATAAAAAGCACATTATAATAATATTCTTAGCAACATGTGCATTAAAATAAACAAATACATACTTTTGCAGTTGTATGGGAAAAAGTCAGTACAGAATACTTCTTTGAAGTCTACACTTATGATTTAAAAGGAAAAAAATGTTGAAATTAAAAAGCTTTACAGCTTTTCCTTAAAATCTGTACACTGAACTAGCCCTTTTCTTAGCAAAGTACAAATATAACAAGACTAGGATCAGATTAGGTTTATTATATGGTTTTCCTATTCAGGTACTATGGGCTTTCACATTAAAAAATACATTACATTATAATAATTTTATTATACTACTAATAAAAAATTTACTAGATAGGGGAGGTTACCTGTTAACCCCCCCCCAAATCTATATCTTACATGGCTGTTCCTTTTAGTTTTTTATTACACTATTTTGCTAACAACTAATGGAAAATGACCATCCTCAAGCCAGTTTCCCTAATTTAATATACTGTAGAGTTTTAACACTGTATTTTTTAAAAAAAATATTTTGCCTAAAAGAGAATTGTATTATAATTATTTGCAGAAATCCTAAGTATAACCTGGCAAAATATTACTTTTTTTTTATATTTTCTTGCCTCTGTGAGATTCAATTAAAGAGGAGGAAATAATGATGCTGATTGCTGCTGTACTTGGCAACACTTACTCTACATGGTGATAAAAAAATGTTGTTAATAGAAAAGTACTTTTCCCATTAAGTTATTTCATGCTTACAAAATTTATAATTAGTGCTTAGGGATTTAAATGGTGGTACTTAAACAAACCTTAATTGCCCTTCAAACTAATGTAAAAAATACTTGCAATTAATTTTATAATAAATTGTGAAATGTTAAGATAAAATAAGGTACAAGACTTATTTTAAAAAATCTAATCTATGTGATATAAATAAAAAGGTACGAGACTTATTTTTATTTATAATCTAATCGTATTAATAATGTAATCTACATAAGAATAAAAATAAGGTAACTTATCTTTGATAAGAATTATAATTATATTATTACTATCTTTTATAAGGATTTTTCATAATAAATAAGTTGGTGGTGTGGTGTATTTAATTATGGCAAAGCCCACTAGGGCTATCTGCCTAAGGGGAGGGATGCCTTTGTGGTGGACTTTCTAAGGGAAACTGGCTCGTATACATGTTACACATGGGGAAAACCACGAAAACGCCCATGCAGCCAGCCCGTTCGCGGGATTCAAACCTCGGACCGAACTACCAGTGTTCAGCGACTTTACCGCTCGGCCGCTGGTGGGCATAGATAAGTTGGCAAAAATATATTTCAGGGTGCTCCATGGTCAAAATTGGTAACTCGCCAGCAAGGCACAATTTCAAGATGTTCGCTACACAAAACCAAAATAACAAGTCAAAGAATTGCCCAAACTCAGTGTCCATATACACATCAATCTATTTTCACTTAAAAAACACCAGAGAATTGCACAAACTCAGCATTGCGACTTTGTCATTGTACACATCGATCTATTTTCACTTTAAAAAAATCAGGAGAATGATGTTAAAACAAAGTTACTCATCACCAAAATTGAACAAAACTTGTATCCAATCGAAGCTCAATAAATTGCACTTTAAATCACACAATGAAATAACATAAAAAGAGGAAATGCATGTTTATCACATATAAGCACTACAAAAAGGAAATATCGACTTACCATATCTAAAATTTCTATGCCTTCAGTCTGCAGCATACAAAATTCCCTAACAGCATCCAAAAACTTTCTAAAACTATGTGAACTCTTTTACACACCAATCAACTGATGCTTTTTTCCCCCTTCATTCCAAATCGTACAGAAACTTCACATTAATCTCATCACATACAGCCTTTTTACAGTGTACGGCACAAAATAAGCAACATACTTCCGAACTGACATCCAATGCAGAGATAAGCCCTTACAAATATTTTCCCATCAGTCAAATTCACTGCAATAATGCAACCAATCACATCATAATAGAGTTTGCATAACATTCAACTACTCAGGTTACCATTAATGAAACAACAATTTTGGCGATAAATGAAACAACTTGGCGATAATCCAAGGGGCACCCTAAAATATAGACTAACCGATAAATTTTTGGGTTAGAGTAGATTTAAGGGTGTCTCTTGGATTATTGCTAAGTTGTTGTTTCATTTATCACCAAGTTGCTGTTTCATCTATTGACAAGTTGTTTCATTTATTGACAAAGTGTTGTTTCATTTATCGACAAGTTGTTGTTTCATTTATGGTAACCTGAGTAGTTGAATGTTATGGAAACCCTATTATGATGTAATTGGTTGTGTGGGAAAAGATTTGGAAAGTGTGTGTCGAATTTTGGATAAGAAGTACGTTGTTATTTTGTGGTTTATACAACTGTAAAATGGCTGAATATGGTAAGATTAATTTGAAGTTTTTGTACAATTTGGAATGAAAGGGGGAAAAAAAAGCATTAATTGACTGGTGTGTAAATGAAGGTTTATTTAGAAGCCATTATTAAGTGTCCTGCTTGTAGGAAGGAAATGAGTATGGTTGAATGTCGGAGGATAACGGCACTACACAGGATATTTTTGTGAATTTATGTGATGACGGGAGCACACAGATTCTGGTTTAAATAATTTTAGGAAGTTTTTGGATGCTGTTAAGGTATTTGTTTGACTGAAGACACGTAAATTTGTAAATAACATAAGTGGATATTTCCTTTGTGCAGGGCTAAGATAAATTCCCTTTTTTATGTTATTTCAGATTGTTTGATTTAAAATAAAGTTTTTCAAGATTATATACTTTTTGTTGGCTGCTCTTTTGACTTTTTAAGTGAATATAGATCAATGTGTACATGGACAAAGTCAAGGGAGTGCACAATGCCTAGTTCTCTGATTTTATTATTATTATTATTATTATTTTAAAGTGAAATAGGTCATGTGCACATGGATACCAAGTTTATGCAATTATTTGATTTTTATTATGGATTTGAGTAGTGCCAAAATAACAAGTCGAAGAATTGCACAGATTCAGTGCCCATGTACCGCCAATTATCACCAAGGGACACTAGTAAATATATTTTTACCAGTTTTTTAATACCGATGCTTCTTCTTGTGTCCTCTTATGTTTAAATCTTATTACAGTCAAAAGTCTTTAATCCGGACTCGTCAGGACTTCGGCGATTCCGGATTAGCGGTTTTTCCAGTTATAGATCATCAGTTTAAATCTGGTAAGATGGCATGCAGAAATTACACAATTAAAAATATGAAAACGTAATTTATGAAATAAAGAGCAATTATGATCTAAAGGATATCAAAATTTACAAAAAAAAAGCTTTATATTTATTTGTTTACTTTATTAAACATTTCTTTTAATGCGCGCATGCGTAAAGCATACATTACGTATAGTTGAAATTAGAAAATTGCAACCTGAAAACTAGTTGATGTGTATTCGCGATATTTATAATGATGAGGAATTTGATTTAAATCATATCAAAGACGGAGTACATCGAGATGAAATACTACATTTAGTAAGGAATTATAAGCCGAATAAAATAAAAACATCTGCCCTGAAGATAAGGATAGTGCTGACAGATCAACTTCCAGTTCACTGCGCACCGCGTCATCCCCCCCCCACAGAGCAGCGTGAAATTGATAAACATATTTCGAAATGAATAGAGAATCAAAGGAGATGGCTTTATCCCTTTTTTGAAGCTATTCCACTTTTTGTTTGACGGACATCGAAACATGCTTTCGCTTTGTAGATGCTTTAGTAGCTCCAGAATCGGAAATTCTTTTTGACATAATCAAAAGTTCAAGCTTACTTTTATAAAATTGCTGTAACAGTCTGCAAAAAATAATAAGACGGATCCAATTAGAAGATTAAGGAACAACGCAATCTGCAACATTAACTGAAATAGGTAATTAGATAATTTTAGCTTAGCTTATACTGTCCGTTATACATTAAACGCACATGCGTAAACGTATTATATGCATGCATAGACGCATGCGCAGAAAGTTTGTAGCTTTGAGGTCCGGATTATAGATCATTCCGGATTATGGACATCGGGATTAAGGACTTTTGACTGTAATTGACTGCTCTTGTATAGAATTCTTAGTATGCTGCCATTTTGAAAATGGCTGCTGTTCGTTTTTACCTGGCAAAAACCATTCACCAACAAGTTTGAGAATGTTCTCAAATTCGCCAATAGGCTTGCAGGTTTTCAGTGGAGATAATCAGAAAGTAACCAAAAGACCATACACAAATTTAATTGAAATGCTTTACGTGGAGATGCAGATAATCAGAAAGTAACCAAAAAGCATACACAGATTTAAAGGAGATGCTTTACATTTTTTATCAAATAGTTATTAATACATGATAAAAAAAACTTACATAATTTTCTCCAAAATGTCTGTGACCACAATTGTAAGCTTCTATGATTATTGATTTAGGTTTTGTCTTGCTCACAGCAACAATACATACATCACCTACATCCTATAAATACAGTTTAAAATATATTTGCTTTAATATAGCAAATGATAGTAAACTAGCAATATTAAGAATGAGAGCTTTTAGAAAAATAATAAAACCATTATGTAAATAGTATTAAAGTACTGGTTTGATTGATTTTAATTGAGATGAAGCACAGGATGGCTATCTGTTAAAGGAGATATGTCACTGCAAAGGACTCCAGAAGAAAAATTAGTTTGTACTCACATTATACAAAATGTAAATTATGAAAATCCTCCATAGCCAACCTTGTTATGGGGAGAGCATGTAGAATAAATATCAGTACTCCACAGCTTTAGACATTCATTCATACAAATTTTTGAAGGTTTGATTAAAAGGGTGTTCAAAATCTATTTTTACAGTGCTTTTTGTTTATAATCTAATCCAGCATTTAATATATAAATAATTAAAATTATACATAATATAAAACTGCTCTAAAATTGAGAACGTTGAAGAGGCAGGATCAAAAGGGCCATATCAACTTTGGAATATACTGTAACTACTTATTAGGTGGGTAAATTTTTTCAAAAATTCTTAAACACATATTCCAGTCATACTTAGAATAAATTTTATTTAACATTAAAATAGATGAAGTTAACAGATTGCGAAAAAATTATCAATACCATTAATACTTCATTTGCAACATGCATAGTTAATAGAAGCCAAAAATAATTATAAAATCTTACTTTATTCTCTAATGAATAAAGGTATTTAAAGACAAAAAATACATAAACTAAATTTACTTCACTTTTTTAAAAAGCACTGAACTTAAGACCACTTAACTTAAAAGGAAAATAATCTCTTCAAATAGCTTGTAAATTACCGTATGTAAATTTTTGCGGTTGATCTTTACATTATGGTAACTTGACGATTTTTTGGCGAAAATTTGGCAACCAACTCTCCTACAGCAACCCTCTATTTTTTTTCCCCGCCGCCATTTTGTCTTCACGAAGTAAAGACATGTTTCTTTTCTTTTATCTACTGAACACACTTCTTCCAACAATCTACTAGCCGAATTACACTTATGCTAGAAATTTTATCAAACAAAACTGCTTAATCATGACAAAATAATCACTGCAAAATTGGGAAAAAGTGCACAATACCATACTCCTTACGCGTTTTTTCAAAATAACACATACACATAAACCATGTACACGCCGACTTATTTTTACTTAAAAAAAACATCCCAGAATTGCACAAAAAAATGGCAATGCGCACACTCTTCACTATATCCACGTACGCTGCTTTTTTCTCATAAATTAGAAAAAATTTCACGAAAATACATGACAATTTTCTCAATCTTTAAACCCCGGTAAAAAGAACATATATGAAATTACCTGATCGTGAAAAAGTATTTATCCTTTTCCAAATATGAACATTTCCACATATAAAATAAATAAAATATCTAAAAACTTTTACCTCTAAATTCATCTATTACATTATACCACGTCACCAATGAATTCAATACCGCAAGCATTACAAATACTTAGTATCAAATATTTAAATTATTTCCATGCACGTTTATTTCAACTTAAACGTATACCAAATTCCTACAAACATAAAAATTCACAAAATAACTATAATTTAATTAAAATATCACTAAACCATGTACACATCGACTTATTTTACTTAAAAAAACATCCCAGAATTGCACAAAAATGGCATTGCGCACACTCTTCACTATATCCATGTACACTGCTTTTTCTCATAAATTAGAAAAATTTCACGAAAATACATGACAATTTTCTCAATCTTTAAACCCGGTTAAAAAGAACATATATGAAATTACCTGATCACGAAAAAGTATTTACCCTTTACAAATATGAACATTTCCACATATAAAATAAATAAAATCCAAAAACTTTTACCTCTAAATCATCTATTACATTATACAGGTCACCAACGAATTCATACTGCAAGTATTACAAATACTTAGTATCAAATATTTAAATTATTTCCATGCACGTTTATTTCAACTTAAACGTATACCAAATTCCTACAAACATAAATTCACAAAATAAACTATCATTTCATTAAAATATAATTAAATTCAAAAACACTACTTAAAATTAAATGAGCACATACATTAAATTAATAAAAATTACCTTTACAATCCTAATTACTTTAAACTAAATCATTGCTAATAAAACAATTTTCCCAATAATACCAAATTCCTTTCCACCTTACATTTAGAACAATGCATAAAATAATATCCTCAAATAATTAAAATACTAACTTACCTAATCTTCTCAGAATCTTGATTACGTGGCGGATACACTTTTCTAATTCATTCAATAAAATTATTGAAGAATTTTTTCTGCGAATTTTTCCTCCATACTTTTTTCCTCCGCTAAATAAAAGCAAAACTTCTCTTTATCACAATGCCTAAATACCCATTTCGAATTCACTTTAATTAGGGCCATGGGATCCAAAAATTACACAACACAGAATAAAGCTAAATACAAATTTCCACATTTTTCCCGATTTCCCCCCTTTACGATTAAAGAAACCGTAATTCGTCCATTAATATCATATGACATATCCCATGATCTCTCATTTCCCTCACGCAAAATAATGCGTAATCGGAACTGAGTACTGCTCACATTATTACCAAAGTCCCAGGTAGTAACCTTTATCGCCTCCAAAATGTCGCCAAACTACCAGTTACCATATTGTAAAGATCAACCATTTTTGCTTACATTATCAGCTTATCACATATTACAGGTAGAAAACTAGTCAAAAACTAGTCAAATCATTCACTACCTTTTCACAATGGGTTGGTGCATACTCCATCTAACAAAAGAAAAATATGTCAGCAAGCCTATCAAAGTCTCACTTTGATAAACAAGTATTTGATAGCCTATCAAAATCAAAGACTATCAAAGTAGCTAATATAACTGTGAACATTCTAAGGGTAAATAAAAAAATTTTAAATATGTTAAAAATGAAGATAAAAAGCACTGCCAAAAAATAAATTGACAAGTTAAACATTAAAGTAGATAAAAATTACAGTGACACATTTACACAAATGAAAAATATTCAATGAAGAGAAAAATTTCAGTCTAGCATAGTTTCATGGTAGCAAATGTTATTTGCATCATTTTTACCAGATACCTATAAAACCTTTCAAAGCATGATCTGGATGTAATGCCAAACCTGGCATAATCAACATATGGCATTACAATACCTTAATCTATACTCTTTGACTATTAATTCCATCAGAGTCTCTATTAGGCACTAACAATTGGAATTTTCTACAAAATATTACCTCATGCCATGTAGGGCCAGCGCACGATTTTTTCTCACCCAGTTGCAATCTCTGTGGGTTTTAAATTCTGCTGCCTCGTGCTTCCTTGACAATCTAAATTCTAAAAATGTTGGCATCCCTAAATTTTGTTCCCCCACCTACTTCTCTATATTCTAAAAATTTTCTTGCCCCTAAATTTTGTCACCTGTTGTGGCCGCACAAGTTCTGGGGACAACTCTAATGCCATGTAATGTCGTCTAGTTCAATTAATTAATAGTTTCAAAGCATAAAAATTATTCTGTTAGAAGACAGACTGATGCTTGAACTTTAATAAGACTGAAAGTGTATGACGACAAATCACACATCTTGCGAATACCAATATTCTTCTATTAACAAATTATAAATAGCAATACAATCCCTACTAGGATAAATGATAATAAATAGCTATTAAAATTAATTAATGATATGCCAAGCAAAAAGCACACAAAAAAAAAGTGTATTAAATTTGAACACATATTTTGCAATAAAAAGGCAAGTGCATTTATATTTTCTTTACAGCTAAACATATTTAAAATACATATTTTTAACTGCTGTTTTTTTCAAATAATAACCTGGTTTTTCTGTACTGACAAATTACACAGTTTTGTTAAGCTGCTTTAAAGTAACACAAAATAATTGGCTCAAGTGCAGAATCGCCCACTTATATGACACATTATCGATGTGTATATGGACAAAGTCAAAGGAGTGCATAATGCCAAGTTTGTGCAATTCTCTGTTTTTTTAAGTGAAAATAGGTTAATGTGTACATGGATACCAAGTTTGTGCAAGTCTCCGATTTTTTTTTTTTTTAATTGTAAATAGGCCGATGTGTACATGGACACTAAGTTTGTGCAATTCTTCGACTTGTTATTTTCAAGTTGATGCAGAATCTCCCACTTATATGGCACGTATCGATGTGTACATGGACAAAGTCATGAGAGTGTGCAATGCCAAGTTTGTGCAATTCTCTGATTTTTTTTAAGTGAAAATAGGTTGATGCGTACATGGATACCGAGTTTGTGCAATTCTTTGACTTGTTATTTTCAAGTTGGCGATTTTGAGAAATGCACGAAGCAGTGGGAAATTCTGCACTTTCCCCAAAGAATTTAGTTTACTGCCCTTCTGTCTCACAGTTACAGAGTGTAATTTTAATTTTTGTAGAATTTATGCAGTCACTTATCTATTTTTTAACTTAATTATACATCAAGAAAGTACAAACTCAACTATTCTTAACAATTTACATGCTACATAGTATAATTTTTAAAAATTAACTTTTGAACAGCATTTAAGAATAATAGTTAATAATAAATATTGCTAGTTTTTAATCATAAAATTCTCAATAACAATTCCTTAATATACATTGATTTTAACATATTTTATATATAATTAAATTATATCAATACAAAAGTAATGCATAAATAATAAAGTATTATTAATAATAATTATGCAACAATATTTTAAAAACAGACAGTTTGGTTTATTGATTACAGCAAAGCCTCAAATGCTATCTGCCTACGGGGAAGAATGCCTTCGTGGATGACTCTAAGGAAAACCGGCTCAAACACATAAAAACAGACAGAATATGGACTAATGTAGTTTTAACTTCCCCCCCTCGGTCCCCCAACGAGGACAGACAACTGAGATTTATTTCATTTGGCCACTCTGTCTGCAATAATGATGGATAAAATTACATTTTAGTAACTTCATGACAAATCAAATGATGGAAAGCATTTTCTCATTGGTAGGTTACACTACTTATTTAAAGAATGCCGAGAATTTAATATAGGGGGAAGCAAAGAATAGAAAATATTTATTTATGGAAAAATTATAATTTTTTATCACTGATTCTGAATTCTGTCAACAAACTTAAAACTTATGCATAATGTTTGATGGTGCAGATTTCGTCAAACTATTAATACAATGCGTTAACATTCTCTTATATTAACAAACACATGTTCAGCTTTAAAAACTGCATCTACTTTATTCATGTTTTCATGTCTTTTCTTTACAACCGATCATAATAACTCTTTATTTAAACTTCAAAATACTCTCCACTTAATGTTACCTACTGCGCTTTGCATAAAAAGACAACCTTTAAAAATTGGGCAATCAACGTGCATGAAGGCCTGCATCACTTACGAAGAATCTACAACTGCAACATGCACAATAGTCGCCATAATTTATGCGTCATTGTTCTAGTGCAATATGCATTAAAGTTCGAATTACTAACGGCATAATTATAGTATACTTATTTATTATTTGACGAGAGTAACTTTAATATTCGCGCTTTTCCCATACAAGTCCGGTACATACTTCGTAGACGTAGGTCTTTCATCTACACTGTTGATTGCTAGTATCACAATCAAATTCACGTCACAATATGTAATTACCGATTACTAAATTACTACTAAAAAGTAGGTTACTAAATATTTCAGTACAATGTATCTTGTCTCTGACAATACGACCTTCCGTCGTCGCGTTTTCGCTGCCTCTACTCGGTTATAACATCTTCCAGAGCAGACGAAACAACACGCTCTTCCATGTCCAACACCGACTCTACTTCAAGCCTAAGCGCGCGGTTCGAAAATTCCTGTGACGTCACGACTTCTGGTCATAATAAACTTCGGAACGCATGCGGTGGCTCTTTGCTGATTGCTGAAGCTTCTTACGTTGTGCGAACGCTGAACCAGAATACTTTGATTTTTTTATGGTTTTAAGGTTGGATGTATTTTAGAGAGGTAAGAATACATTACTTTACTTCTGTAAAGTATTCTAATTCTGTAAAATATTTCTAATTATATCAACGTTTTTAGGCGTATGTTCTAGTATACATGTGTTATTTCTGGTAGAGACAAGGCTGCTGTGCTATGTATAATTTCTTTTTGAATAATGTTGTGTCAGCCCATCGTAGAATAAACGGGCTTTGCATAATTATATTACCTGATCTGTTTCAGAATAAAACATTTTTTTATGGACCTGTATAAATTTTATAATATAAGCTAACACAGCTTATTAAAATTTTACATGCCATTAGCTATATAACTATTTACTCCCTTTTATATTTATAAAATAATTTATATATATTAATTTTCATATTGTCGCTATGGAATATCAGCATTTTGGCATGTATACACAGTTCCAGATACCTCAACTGTTTGCTTTATTCATATTGTTTTTAGTCCTGGGCCATCAATTGATTATTCTGTAGTTGTGAATGACAATCAAGAAATGTCTGTATTTATTAAAGAAAAATCTATTATGCAATTATCTCCTTACACATTCCCACATAAAGTTACAAATTTTAATGAAATTAGGACTGTTTTAGATAAATTGGCTAATCTTCAAACCAAAGAGTTAAATTCAAAATTAACCATAACAATTGATATAATTAATGAATTACTGCAAACTATCTCTAACGACAAAAATGAGAGCATTATTAAATTTTTGCAAGACCAGATGAATCTTTTACTTTGCCCTAAAAATAATTTTAGATACAATCCTGATGTACTAGTGTTAGCATGCTTGTTAAATACTATATCACCACATGCATATAAATTTTTAAGGGATAGTGGCAGTATTATTATGCCTCATCCTTCGACTTTAAAAAAAATTTGTAGCAATTTAGTATTGTCACCATGTAATGAAACTATTGATGAAAATTTTTTAAATATATAAAAAAAATCGTGTAACTTTCCTTGAGGATCGAGAAAGAAAAGTGATTCTTTTGGTAGATGAAATTTATGTTCAGCCATATTTTGATTACAAAGGAGGCTCTGTCGTTGGGGCTGCATTTGATTCTTCCAGTCCGGCAACCAGTGCATTTGCTTTTATGATATCCAGTTTGGAATCTTCATTCAAAGAGGTAGTACATATTATGCCTGTTAACACAATAAATTTTGAAACATTACATTATGTAATTAAAAAAGTGATTAGAGGTCTTGAAAATATGGGAATTATTGTTATTTGTGTTATTACAGACAACAATGCAATAAATAGAAAAGCCATGAGTTTGTTTTCAAATCCACCACGTAATTCATTTGTTTACAAACATCCAATGAATGGGAATAGGCCTCTTTTCTACATAATAGATGCAGTTCATTTATTTAAAAATATAAGGAACAATTGGCTGAACCAGAAAAATCCTGGTACATGTATGTTTTTTTCCAAATATTGAAGATCTTTCAAAGAAGCACTTCAAAACTGCTTCGTTTATGTCTTTGAGAAAGCTACATGAAATTGAAAATGACCAACTGATTACATTTTCTAATGGTTTAACTCTAAAAAGTCTTTCACCTTCTAATTTAGAGAAACAAAACATTAAACTGGTTCTTAAGATTTTCAATAAATTTACTATTGAAGGTCTGATTCATTTGGGTCCTTTGCATGAAATACCACACTATTCAGATACATCTGAGTTTATATCCATAATATGCAAATGGTGGGATATTATGAATGTTAAAACTATGTTTAAAGGTATACATCAAAAGAGTGAATTTATGAAGCCATTAACAGCAGATGATTCTGATCCAAAAGTTATTTTCCTCAATCAGTTTCTTAACTGGTTAGATGCATGGGAATCAATGAAATGTTCAACAGGCATGCTTACAAAAGAAACTCATGCAGCTCTCAAACAAACTACTTATGGTATACTGGAGTTGACTAGATATTGTGTTTGAAGAGCTTGGAATGAAATATATACTTCCAGGAAAAATTCAGACTGATGCTCTTGAAGCCCGGTTTGGTAAATACAGACAACTTTCTGGTTCTCAGTATCATATTTCAATGAGACAGTTATTAGAATGTGAAAAAAAATTAAGAATACAATCAAGTATTAAGTTAGAATTGATTATTAAAAATACTACTGTCCCTTTAACATCATTTGAATATGATGATAATCTTCATGATATTATAGAATTAGATAATACAGTATATTACCCATCATTAAATATTACGGAGAGTGATGTGAAGGGCATTAGTAGCCATCTGCCAGTTCTGACTTATTTGGGTGGTTACTGTTGTCATGCAGTTTTAAAGAAAGTGAAATGCTGTACCTGCAAACAAAACATTACAATAAATTCCACAGTTAATCATGATCAAACGTATGATCTTATAAAGAATCTTGATCGTGGTGGACTCAGGTGGCCAAAACCATTTATTGTAAATATAATTATGTATAATTATTTAATTGTAAATAAGCTGTGTAGTGAAGAATATGAAGATTTTTTGTTGGAACAAAATCAGAGGAAAATTGTTGCAAATTTGACTTTTAAAATTTTAGAATTAAAAGAAATGCTCTTTGATGATATTATTTGTGATAATGGTCATACAAGTGAAAGTATAAGCAAACTGATAATTTGGATATCAACAAATATCATGCTCAAGAATCTTTGCAATAGGAAAAATGACGATATTAAGTCCAATAAAGAAAAAAAGAAAAACTTCAGACACTTGCAAAGTAACATTGATGCTGTCTTTAAAAGTAATTTTTAAAGTTCTCTCAAACTGCATCTTTGCTAAATATCTACGTGTCATCTTTGGTGAGCAGCTGAGATTTAAGAAGCATGTTTGTTATACATTTAAATTGCTTTATACCAAAATTTATTTTGGACTTGTATATATTATTCTTTGCTTATTTAACCAAGTTTTTAATATTACTCAAGATTTTATATAATTTTTAATTTGTTTTATACTAAGTTACTTCTCAAGGTCCTGAAATTTCTATATTGTATTTACAAGCGCCTTTGCTAAATATCTACGTGTCATCGTTGCTGAGCAGCTGAGATTTAAGAAGCATATTTATTATACATTTAAATGCTAAATATCATAATTTATTCTGGACTTGTAGATATTATTCTTTGCTTATTTAGTTATTTAACCAAGTTTTCGGTATTACTGAAGATTTTATATTTATTTAAAATTTTCTTTATACTCAGTTATTTTTCAAGTTTCCAACGTTTCTATTTTGTATTTCAAGTGTGTGTTTCTTAAAATGTTTGTCATTATTTAAGATTTGTATCCTGCAATTACAATGCATATTGTAATCATAGTGTAGTAGTGTAGAAAGAACATATTACATGGTGTAGTGTAGAAAGAAAACAAATTCCATAATGTCTTCTTTCTGCACAATCTAACTCTAATATTTCTATTTATGCAATAATCGTATGGACTCTTTCTGGATAGTACTACATGTTCAACTGGCCAGCTCAAGTAATATTTGCTCTTCACATTATTCACAGTGAATAAGCACAAATCAATCCACTAATATACCACTCATATGGTGACAGGGTGTGAAAGAATAGTCCCAATGTAGCTCATACATGTCGTAAAGCAACTAAAATGGGCAACTAAACTGGAATTCGAACACGATTACAGAGGGAACTGCATTTTTAGAAGATTTGGAATAAAAGGATGACAGCCATCAGGAATGGAGCTGGGAAGTACATGAGAAAAGAACCCGGTTTATTATAGCTTGATTCGAAAACTTTTTGTAGCGTTTATAAAAGTTTAAAACACTTAGTGTTTGATTTTGTTCCTAAATCACCCCGACTTTGCAAAATTCGGTTAAGGGGAACGTTTTTTAGTTATAGTATTATCAATGGACATGCACCTACAGAGGACAAGGAAGAGGAAGAGAAGGAAATTTTTTATGAGGAACTTTCTATGTTATACAGATCTTGTCCCAAGCATGACATTAAAACTGTCATGGCAGATATGAATGCTAAATTGGGTAAAGAGGAGGAATTTAGACCAACAATTGGAAAGCATGACTTACATGATAGTACTAATGACAATGGACAACGACTAGTTACTTTTCTCTGCTGAACACAACATGATAATTTCAAGCACTATGTTCAGCCACAAGACAATACACAAGATGACTTGGCATTTACCTGATCGGACGAGACCTGTAATCAAATTGATCCTGTACTCATCGATTCTAGGCATTCTTTTGGATATCCAGGATGTTAGAACTTATCGAGGCGCCACCTGTGATTCCGACCACTTTTTGGTTATTGCTCAAACTAATTGGCTAAAATTTGAAACGCTCCGAAAGATACGGGGAGAAAAGGCAGACAGAAAGTTTGATTGTTGAAAAGCTGAAAGTTTGAGGCAATTGAACGAAATTTCTAGTCCTCACTCAGGGGAGATAACTAAGATCTAAAAACATGATTGAATTGGAAACCTTGGAAAATAAGTGGAGCTTACTTAAAGACTCGATCATACAATCAGCTGACAACACACTGGTACATATGGAAAAACCCAAACCAAGGGATTGATTTGATAATGAATGCTTCGTTATAACACAGGCAAAAAGAGCTGCTTATAGAAATATGGCCCAAAAGCGACATTCATGACACTCTGTTGAGGAATATAAGAGATCTAGAAAACAGGAGAAGATCCACCGGCTTAAGAAAAGACTTTTTCACGACGATCTATTTAAGGATGTTGAACATCTGAGGGTGTCCAATGAAAGCCGTGCTTTCTATCGTGAAATTAATCTTGGCCGCAAAAAATTTTAAACCTA